TCTGACGCACGTGACTTACAGCTTAGGGATTGGACCGCATGCGCGAATCGATCCGGATCGTTATCGGCCACAAGCTTCGCGACGCATTCTTTTGCAGCAACAGTGGCACACTCAGGATAATGGTTTGGGTATTAACCCAGCGACATGAACCCTAGACGGGTTAGCTCATCCTATCGGATGTACTATTTTGTTTCCGAGCTGCTGGAAGCATTGTTCTACCCACCCCTTTGGCACGCTCCTGCCAACGAGGACCAATTATTGCCTGAGCCGTGTCCAGTGCGGCAAAACGGCTTCGGTGAATAACGCTGAGGTCGCCATGGGAATACCCACTGTTGCGCATGCAATAACTCGCCGCGGCAACCGCGACTGGTCGTGTGTTGGGCGCGGTGCTTTAATGTCGGCCTTGCCAGTTTTTGAACGACGACCGGGTACTCGTGTGACAAGATCAGCGTGCTGCTCAGACGAAAAGCTGTTGGTTTATAAATGATGCTGTTAACAAACGCAACGACGACAGCAGAACAAACGATCACACGACTTGTGTTTGTATTCTGTGTGCAGTAGATCAAGGTGCTGAACATCAAGATGAGATGAAGGCATGGACATGTCATGGGACGGAGGGCGCGAGAAGGCTTTTGTATTTGAGCCTTTTAAAGATAAACACGGCACTGAATTTCTTCAAGACGGTAAACCTGCGGCGATGTACGGAAAGCTGCACCATCTTTATGGGGCGTTCCCGGGGGCACCACCAGGGGCACGTCAGTCTTATGATCCAGGTGTACGCGGACATGAGCGAGTGACATGGGTGCCTCTGCATGACGCTCATGTCAGGTGATAGTGGACAAAACATGCGAAAAGGGGGAAGTTGGGCTCAACAACTGCGAGGAAGGGACCAGTAGAAGCCTGGAATGCGCTCCACCTATTCGTGTCATCTACAAGGGACCAGTAGATGGCATGAATGACTTCGTCTACGAATGTCACCTTTTGTCACTCGGTGATGTTCGGCTTCCACTCGAGTTCTGCCATGCCTCCTTGACATCTGAAGAAAATGGCTAATCGATAAGGCCATGACCTTGTACGCTAGCCAAGGTGAACACCCGCATATAAAACGGCTTATCAGGTAAGGACGATACGCCACGAACCGATAAATCCAAGGCAGTGATAGAAAGCGATCGAATCACAGCGCGTGTAGGCATTTTCGCCCGCTTCAGAATGACACTGTGAGCTTTTGATTTTTGTGGGAACAGGTTGTATAAATATGACAATAGTGTTGACATAGCAGACTGCTCTTGCAAAAGTTTGCGTAAGTTACAAAGAAGTGACAGCGTAGTTTTCTGGGTAAAAACGAGAAAAGCCTGACCTGGATTTATAGATATGGATAGATGCGAATGGTACGGTGAGATACTCCTATGTGATGCAATTACTATATTGTTCAAACATTTCCTTATTGTAGCTATGTAAGCGATGATGCGGTTTGCCATGGATCTAAGCCTACATTAAATCGGAGAACAAAAAAAAGCACTTTTCAAATTTTAACTAGGGGTCGTGCTAAGCTGCTGTCTTTTACTCTGTCGTGGCCTTCTGTCGGCATGGTGCTGTCGTTATGCTGTCGTTTTTCTCGAAGATACAGTTATAATGCCTTTATGTTATTTCCTCCAACACCGTAGTGACTGTGCGTTCTTCCCAACTCGCATTTTGTTGTAGTGCTTGCGTGTTGCTGACAGCTTAAATCGAGGCTATCCCACCGTGCTGTAGACATGCAGTCCCCGGCGCAGAGCACGTCACGCATGTTCCATGCCGGCTGGCGTAATGAATACTATCCTAGTCAGGGGCGTGAAACGGGATCAGACCCGTCCATTTGCATGCCCTCAGACACTCCTGACGGCGGTACACATGCGCTGACTCGTGGACCCATCATCAGCACCGGCGGAGTCCTGCGTGCCCTGTGACCACGCCTGGTGTCCGCGCGGCGGGAGGAGGGGGGGAGGGGGGGGGGGGCAGGTGGCGATGCACCGAACGCGCACTCCGATCGGTGTCGTTCGTCCTGACCTGCGTCAAGCCCAGATAAAGGCGGCGCCGGTGGCAGAGGCGCGTCCAGGACTCCAAGCGGGGGTGCGGACGGTCGAGCGCTTTAATTCGCCGCTAGGTGAGGTGCCGTCATCCTTGGTCAGAGCGGGCAAACAGCGCGCGAAATTAGTGGACTCAACACAGATGGGTACTTTCAGACATCCTACCAAAATGAACAGATTGATAGTAGAAACAAAAACAAAATAAACAGAGGCCGCACGCAAGTGGGTCAGAGGCCTAGTTCTTCGTTGTATCTGCCCCTTCGTAGCCAGTGGCCTGATTTTGTATGCCATTCAGTGGGTCCACGTGGGTCCACGTGGCCACCACGTGGATCCGCAACGTTAGACAACATCAGGAAGTCCGTACTTAAGAATTATCTACTTACTTACGGCAAACATTTTACCAATCATCAACAGCCTGGCAAGTTGAAAATTGGGAAATGGCGCAGGCTCGCAACGAACTAGCTGGACGAACAAGGCTGTAGCCCAGCTAGAGCTACAGCCTTATTGGTTGAGAAAATTAACACTGGTTAAATGAGCATGTAGATCACACAGTGCACTTAACAGCACATTCGCAGCGCAGTGTTTTCACTGTGCACTTTATGATCAGATTGTTTTTATAAGGAGTTTGATGGGACCTCGCAACGGCCTTTTTGATCAGTGTGTCATTAAAATGACTGCTGTAAAATTTACTGCATTAGACCGGCCCAGGCGCATGCAATAAACTGCAACATTTTCAGCGATGAAAGGCAGCCACACCGCACCGCATCGCGTTGCAATGCTTTTAATCAAGGGTCAGGGCTTCGCAAAGCACGGCAACCGCAAAAACATTATGCGTTAGGATCACAGCATTTCAGCGCTAGGATAACCTTAAAACGCAGCTGTTGTAATCTTCGGGCCCAAGTCCTCGCCCGGCGGGCCTCGCCAGTTACACGCTGGACGCTGATACCTCCAGTCAGACGGTTTGAGACATTCGGAATATTTTGTCACGTCGTATGCTTTAGATATATGGAATAGTTTTGCATGTCGCGTGCTCTGCACAGACTTGAAGCTGGCGCTCGTGAAGGATTTCCTCTGCTCATCGGGAAAGCCTGCCTCGTTAGGCGGAAATGAAACCCGCGTGCTGATACCGTGCCTGGAACACTTGCCGCGTTTGGCCTCAGCCTCGAACCCACGATGCTGGGCGAGACCAACGTGCTTGAACAGCCGTTATCTGTGGCGCGCTGAGCTGCGAGCCGCGGACTGCACGCTGGACTTCTTCGCCGCTTGGCGTTCGCGATCTGATGTCGGAAGCATGGCCGGCTATCCCCTTCACCCGGGGTAACGGTCAGTATCGCTCGCGTGGTACGGTATCGACCCAATGCCGGCGGGGCAGCGCACCGGAAACAACCTCCATATGCCTCCGGTGCTCAAGTGTATCCCCATGCGTACCAGCGAGCCCAATGCCCTCAGTAATAGGCCGCCGTTGTTTTTGGCTGCTTCGATCGTGCCTGTTGCCGCTTTTGGCTGGGGCGTGACGAGGGTCTTGACCGGCCCCCTGCGCCGCCCAAAGCAGTAGCCAGCACGGCTGGCATAACGTCGGAGTTGTTTTATTAGATTGATATGCCATGCGGATGTACATTCAGATGGACCCATAGTTTGGTATGTCATGGCCGGTTTGATCACGAGTTAGTAATCTTGCGGTCGTTGTAGCATAGGCAGTAAGTAACACATCTATCACAGTACCATGAGCACCGTATGAACATCACAAGAACCCCACAACCTATCATATCGTACTATATCATCGCACATTATAGTATTATAAACATGCTATGTTGCTAACATACTAACATACATGCTAATATACTATGCTGTCGATGCAAGCGTGTTGTGCATAAGCGAGTTTTCTTCTGCTTAACTGACCTGTGATTCGTCCTGTATCACGCAAACATCCTCTCGGTTAGATACACACCTTCTGATCAAGGAAGACACATAGGCACCCACCACCAGGTGCCTAAAACCTTCTCCAGTGTTCACAGATTATCCTATGTTAACATCGATCTCGCAAATTGAACAAGTCATTCAAACTAAACCCTGCTAAGCTGGGTGGTATGACTTAAGTCCTGCGCCTATCCGCAATGCTACTTCAAAAACCAAGACTGGCACGGCTGCGAAGACAATTGCGTTGAGTAACATATGCCAGTGTTATGCCGACCAGGTGGTGCGACTTTTAATAAATGCAACCAGGCCATAACAGAAAAATATCCTTGTATGCTTTCCGTGTAGAGGATTAGACGCGGCTTGACCTCCGGATGAGCAATGTATGTTTATAATCGCGTTACAATTTACCGCGATAAGACAAAGCAAATGAACGTAGGACGGTCGCTTCCAATTTTTATTTGCGACAAAAGTAGGTTAGCTCGTTACCGGATAAGTGAACACAACATGAAATCGACAATGACCAGACAAAATGGTCAACACTCATAATCTGTGACAGACGTGGTTTTTCATTTATATGGGATCTGTAGAAGCATCAAAAACTTAGCTACCAAGCGTCATATCTTTAGCGATTCTAAAGTTTTATTTCGGAATAAACCTCAGTGTAGCCTCCTCTAGCGCCCTTATCCTGCGGGAAATGATGCATGGCAATACATGAAATAACAACAATCTGCTCTCATTTACTCTCCATGTGGCAAGTGTGTATTACATGATTCGGAAAGACACCCATAAAGTCAAATGCCAAACTACATCTACAACACTGCTAATACCATTCCTGCAGGTCCTCTCGCAGCACTCCACGTCAGCACGCAATCGACGCTCGCGCAAAAACGCAGCACACGAGGGTTCCGGTGCAGTCACCAGTCAGACACACCTCCTCAGTGCCGCGCGCATGCTGACGCATCCGCACACCGCAGCAGCCTGGCCGGTGGCGACAGCACGCCTCCTCCACCACCGCCCTCAAACCGGCTCGTTGGCCCACTTGAGGAAGGCGTCGCCCTCCTCCTCGGTGAAGTAGTTCCTCCAGTCGCCCACCTGCCCCTTGCGCATGAAGGTGCCCTCCTGGCCGGCGGTGACCAGGCCCTTCTTCTCCCAGTGGCGGAAATTGGTGCCGGGGTTCTCCTTCATGGCGCCGAAGCTGGTGTGACTCACGATGCTCTCCACCTGGTCGTCGGTCGCGGGCCGCCCGAGGAAGGTGGCCACTCGACGGACGACGGCCGCGCGGTCAGCGTGCAGCTGCTCGTACGTCACGCAGAGCACGGTGTCGGCGTGACGCAGGTAGCCCTGCACGTGCTCGCGGTAGGGCGCGTGCATCACCTCGCCCCGCACGAAGCGGTCGCGGAGCTCCGGGAAGGTGCCGCGGTACTTCTCGTAGTTGACCATGCGGGTGCAGTGGTAGTAGGACACGCAGACATCGCGGGGGTCGCGAGTGACGTAGAGCACCTTGGTGCCGCTGGTGTGCACGCTGGGCGGCAGCAGGTCGTACGTCAGGTGCGTCTTGATGAGGCGCGGGTCGTCCATCTCGTGGACGGAGCGCATCTCCATGTTCACCGCCGACGGCATGTCCAGGAGGGGGAAGCGATACTCAAGCGGCGTGTCGGCCTTGCCCCCGGCGCCTGTCTCGCCGTGCACGATCCTCCACACGATCTCCTGCAGCCAGGTGGTGCCCGACTTGGGGAAGCTGGCCACGAAGATGTCCGTGGGACGCGCCTGGAAGCGTGCCCAGTGCTCGACGCAGCCGTTGACCAGGTGGTAGTTGGTGAGCACGGTGCCACGGTGGCGGAAGTGGCGCACCAGGGGGTTCTTGTAGTTGGGGTCGGCCGGCAGGATCTTCCAGTCATCCGGCACCTTCATCTGGGCCAGCTTGGCCGCCATCGCCTTGGCATGCTGCTCCCGTCGAGCTGTCTCCTCGTCTGTCGTGCTCACGGTCGCCATGGCAACACTTGCTGTTGTCTGCGCTGTTGCGCCGCTGGTCGAAACAATAAAAACCAGGTGCCTTCCAAAGCCGAACTTCTTACCTGCTAAAGACCACGGGCTATCTCACCGGACTGTCTTGCTACCGACAGACGAATGTACCGCCCGACGAAACTCGTGACTTACTGACAAGAGCGAGAGCGAGATTAGGTTTCCCTCAGCTCCCACTGATAGCAGCGGCGCGCGCCATCCCACTGGTCGAGCTTGAGGACTACAACACCGAGGCCTGGTCGGAAACTCACACTGCTATGGCCAACTGCAAAAACCTACACTCCAGCATTATTATAGCTAAAAAGTGTAAGTGTGCGTCAATGAACAGGCGCATATGTAATTATCTCTCATTTTCACGGCTTAGTGCAACGCGGGTACCATGGCCTAAAGCACAATAATCACTTGATTTCGGTGCTATCCGAGCAGAAAACCTGCTGAGTGTGCTCAATCCGCAGACAATCTGATCATCAGCATGCCAAATGCGAGATTGTGGTGTTGAACTTTGAATCTCCGAGAAACTTCCTGAAATATACGGATTTCTGCAACCAGGTATTCTTAGGTCCTTCTCCGGGTCAGCCAACACTTGGCGACGGTCGGTACAATAAATGGCCTGCACGGTGTGTTGGTTAACAGTAAGACTATTAGGATAGCGGAGCAAAAAGTTGATCTGGATCAAGTGTAATACATCATAAATTATGTTGAATTAAGACCCGCTGGATCCCGGCGGGATCAAGACCGGCTGGATCGCCAGCCGGATCAAGGCCGGCTGAAGCACCGGCCCGATCAACACCGGCTGTATCACCGGCGCCGGCACGGACCACCGACTGAGAGCGGCTCGTCCGGCAGTCCTCTGCCTGCTGGTGAGCACGGCCGCGCTGGCAGCGAGCGGGCGGTGCGGCACCGCGGCTGTACCTTAGCTACATATTTAAAGGCAAGTCTAATGCATCGTTTTTTTCTATTCCCTTAAAGTGAAGGTGCTTATGAAGGGAGCGAAAGGAGCCGTTTCCAGCGACATTACCGCTCCATCGGTGCCGTCACCTTGCGGGCTGGCGTTGTGGTTGCGCTGTGGGTCACCGTGGGACCCATCTCGTCTGGCGTACGGTAACGCCTGAGCTCAGTTGGGCGCGGCTGGCTGGGGCAGAATGACGTGGCCACGCGGTCGCTGGAATGGTGCGCCGGAAAGAGCGATTCGCATCTCCCGACGCTTTGCCCGTTCTTAGCTTTGAGCAGTGCTCTGGAGTTAGGGAATACGAGGAACTGCACGGGCCTCGTTGCTTTCAAGCTACGTGCAGTTTCTTCATACGTGAATGGAGCCAGTTGCGTACATGTAGGAAAATTCAGGCTCTACTCTCAGAACTGAGGAATGGACTTCACTCCTCTATTTGTACTCTCCACCCATGGAGATCAAACCACCCTGCTGGATTGATGATTCGTGTCTTATGGCAAAGTCTTCTCTGAGTCAATATGACAACGTGGCTGAAAAACGGCAACTCACCTGGCCAAATGTCAAACGCCATTCGCCATGTTTTCTTTCTTGCCCCATTCTTGGCTGCGTCCCAAAATTTCCTTGAACATTTTGTCGCATAATGTCCGCAATTTGCATCATCGTTGCCGGTTAGATCGTTGACATTGGCTCTGTCAGGAGATATTGAAAAAAAACTTTCATGTGTAAAGCTGGCTAATTGGTAAGTTGAACTGCTGAAACTTATCATTTTTGGCGCGCGTCAGGAATCGAAAGATATAAAGCGCATTGCAAGTGTGTTGATTTGACACTGACGCAGAAAACACGAGACCAATCGCTCAGAGCAATAACTCGAGTTGGTTACTGCCAGCCCGGCCAAACACTGTCGGAATGCTCGCCATTCCGCTACAAGTTACAAGATCATATAATGTTTAAAGGTTAAACAAAACCGGAATGTACGCATGTTACAGGTAATGGACAATTTGCAAAATTCACCAAATCTGTTCATGCGTAAAACAAATATTACAGCTTTTATTAATGATTCTAGAGTTCGTTTAGATTTTGAACTCGACAGACATTGTCTAGCGCAGTGACCTGCTTGAAACTTCAAAATTTTCCCAAGTACGAAAGGATGAAATAAAAGGGACTCGAAATTTCGTGCCGGCGTTTCCACCGTTTTTTTCTTAAACCCGGGAAACATTAACGGTGAATATCATCCTTTCCCCGACCGAGCCGACGTGCACACCGTTTTCATTTGAAATCAAAATTACATCACACACAATCTGTTGAAAAGACGTTTTCTCCAAGACGTAATGGTACTGCCTCAAAAGATAGTTATAACAACAAACCTAACCAAAACTGTCCCTCAAATTGTTATCGAAAGTCATCATTCTTAGAGTCAGGGGCGGATCCAGGATTTCGTCAAGGTGGGTACACGCAAAATTATTGGGCCCCCAACAGAGCGGGGCCGCCTTAATATATGCTTGCACTCCGGTCATTACATTTAGAGACCAACGGAATGTAGCATATATATATATATATATATATATATATATATATATATATATATATATATATATATATATATATATATGTGTGTGTGTGTATGTGTGTGTGTGTGTGTGTGTGTGTGTGTGTGTGTGTGTGTGTGTGTGTGTGTGTGTGTGTGTGTGTGTGTGTGTGTGTGTGTGTGTGTGTGTGTGTGTGTGTGTGTGTGTTGTGTGTGTGTGTGTGTGTGTGTGTGTGTGTGTGTGTGTGTGTGTGTGTGTGTGTGTGTGTGTGTGTGTGTGTGTGTGTGTGTGTGTGGTGTGTGTGTGTGTGTGTGTGTGTGTGTGTGTGTGTGTGTGTGTGTGTGTGTGTGTGTGTGTGTGTGTGTGTGTGTGTGTGTGTGTGTAAGTGTGTGTAAGTGTGTGTAAGTGTGTGTAAGTGTGTGTAAGTGTGTGTGTAAGTGTGTGTAAGTGTGTGTAGGTATAATAAATATAGAAACCCGTCCTACTCCGCGCAGCTCTATAAAGCTAGGCATGCTACGTATGCATATACATAGAACTCGCTCATTTTCTACAGACCATGCTAAAGCCAATAATTTGGGTCTAAGTGTTTCGAAACATCAGGCAAAATCAATTACAGTTGGCTGCTAACAGCCATCAAATCTGAGCACGGACTTGATTCCTAGTTTATTTACGGCTAGCCGTCTGGGCGATGCAATCAGCTGAGGGCTTATGACTAATGCAGAATTATTCCTTCGTCATGAATTAGTGTAAAATATTTATTCAGTACATAGCATTCAAAGATATAGCATTCAAAATATGCTAAAAAAGTGATGCACTAGTATTATAACTTCTACACGCTCAAAAGCCAAGGGCAATGACACGTATGACGTCGGCGGCATGTACAATTCAGTTCGACAATTACCAAAAAAAAACCCAAGACTGACGTGGTGGGTTATAAACGATTGGTAGTGCCCCTACAGGTTGGCATATAAAGCCGAGCCATAACGCAGTACCCACTGAGTAAAGGGAATTATCCAAGACCATGAATTAATACCCTTGTTCGATCAAGAGAGCATGGTCAGGTTAACAGAAAGAGCCTCGATAGAAATGAAGAGTCCTCCTCAAATGAGATGAAAGGGGAAAAGCCCTTAACCAAATTAGAGAGCCACTGAGCATCGGGTGCCTCGGTGCATCGGGTGCCGTTATAAGAGCCCCAGCAACAGCACAAGGCTCTCCAAACAAGTGGAAAGAACCTGAGACTGATATGAAGAGCCTCTGAGCAGCTGAACGCACCCTGGCACCTGGGGCCCCCGAAAAACCTGCATCGGTCAAGAGGGCTCAGGTGTGAAAGCAGACAGCGTCCCAACAGCAGCATTAGGCCCTACAAGAAAATACCAAGAGATCAAGGGCAACTTGGAAAGCTCCTTAGCGATCAGATTGACCCAGCAAGTGAACATATAGAGCCAGCGCAATTGACGGCATAATGTCTCTAGACAGCGTGATGAGCCCCAAAATTTCCCCAAGCAACGGCTTCTCAGCCAGGGAAGAATTAGCTTCGTCTGGTTATGAACACTTTGCACTTGCCAGCAATTGTTCTTTGTCGTCTGTAGGCCCAAAAGCGTCCAATTTTATCGTGTTTTTGTTGTTAGGAAAGTGGTTCCGTGCCTCCCCCGCCGCCTTCTGCATCCGCCGCCGGCCCGAGCAGCTTAATAGATAGAGCCCGTCAAGAACATAGGGCCATCCATTCAAATGCAAAATGCTCACGACACAAGATGTAGGGCTCCGAACGATCTAGTGTGTCCGAGCAGGTTGACATAAAGGGCCCCCGTCAAGAGCGTAGGGCCCTCCATTCAAATAGGAAGTGCCCAAGATCCAATGTGGAGGGCCCCCGAATGGTCGAGCGTACCAAAACAGGTTAACAGATGGGGCTCCCATCAAGAACGTAGGGCCCTCCATTCAAAAGAGAAAGCGCTCAACACCCTAAATAAATGGCCCCGAGCGATGGACTGTGCTCAAGCAGCTTAACAGAAGGGGCTCGGCAAGGGCGTAAAGCACTCCATTCAAATAAGAAGTACCCAGAACCAAGAACGAAGGGCCTCCGAAAGATGGAGTGTACCCGAGCAGATTATGAGATGACCCCTACAGGAGGGGGGCCTTGAATTCAAACACTAAGACCCAATATGCAGGGGCCCGAAACAATCCAGCCTGGCCAAGGAGGCGAACAGATGGGTTCCCGACAAGTGCGTGGGGCCCTCCACTTAGGCAGGAAGTACCCAGGACGCAATATGGATGGACCCTGAATAATCGGGTGTGCCCAGGAAGGTTAGCAGGTGGGGCCCCGACAAGAGCGTAGGGCCTTCCGTTCAAATATGAAATACTCACGACATGGTGTAGAGGGCCCCGAATGATCGAGTGCGCCAGAGCAGGTTAACAGATAGAGCCCCGGAAAGAACGGAAGGCCCTCCATTCAAACAGGAAGTACCCAAAACCAGATGCAGAGATCTCCCCCGCTATCGAATGGGCCCGGACATCTTATCAAAAGGGGCCCCTAAAAGAGCGTAGGGCCCTCCATTCCAATAAGAAGTACCCAGAACCCAGTGTGGAGGGCCCGCGAAAGATGGAGTGCACCCGAACAGGTTATCAAATGACCCCGATAGAAGCGCAGGGCCCTGAATTAAAATACCAAGACCCAATGTGGAGGACCCCCGAACAGTCCGGCGTGGCCGAGGAGACGAACAGAGGGGCCTCGACAAGTGCGCAGGGCCCCAATTCGAATAGGACGTGCCCGAGACCCAATTAAGAGGGTCCGAACGTTCAAATGTGAACGAGCAGGTTATCAGATAGGCCCCCACAAGAACGTAGACCCCCCCCCTCCCTGCTCCCATTCATATGAAAAGTACCCAGGACTCAGTGTGGAGTGTCTCCGAACGACCGAATGTGCCCAAACAGGCAATCAGATGGGTCTCCGACAAGAGCATAGGGCACCAAGCAAGCGGCAGGGAATCGGAAGCGCCCTAGACCAGTGTGGAGGGCCCCTGGGCATATCGGGAGTGTGTCGGTAGCTTATCCGAGACGCACGTAAAGGGCTTCTGAGCAGCCGAGAATACCCCGTCAGCTTAAGATATGGGGTGTCGGATGTGGCCTACAGAGCCTTTCTGGCGAATGGAACGAATCCATTTAAGGGCCCTTGATTGACAAGAGTGTCCCGGCACGCTAGCAGGAAGGGTCCAGCAACAGTACAGGGTCCTCCGAGCAAATGCAAAGAAATCAAAGGCGACGCGGAAGAATCCGTTATGATCGGAATGGCCCCGCAAGCCGGTATATAGGTCCCCCAGAAACAGCAAAGGACCCTTAGAGAGTGCAATGAGGCTTAGCGTTCCCAATTCACAGTTTGTTCAACCATTGAAGATTTTCTTTACTTCTCGTGGGCCATTCACTTTCGCTTGCAAATGTTCCTGGTCGCCTGGAAATTCACAAATGTCTAAGTTTGTTGCCTTGGGTCTTAAAAAACTGCACCTGTTTGGCTGGCTATGGGTCCCCCTGGAGCCAACGGGCCACAGGGGGGCCATGGCTCCGTGGCCCCCCCCCCCCATCCCTCTGGATCCGCCCCTGCTTTGGACACTCTGTACCTTGGATATTATGAACATCTCCACACTGAGCCATTTTGTAAGTTATGTCGCATTTTGGGAATTTTGTTCTTTGGTCATCATGAACTTCGGGTATTCTGTACATCGGACATTATGCACTTTGGGCATTCTGTACCTTTGGACATTCTGTACCTTGGACAATGTGGTACGGACCCGATTTCAACGTTCGGTGAGCAGATATTTGCATTCAAAACGCAACGCACTCTCTACCCACAGCGTTTGAAATAGTTTTGGTTCTGATTGCTTGGTTATAGATATGCACACACACACGCTCTAAGCATTCACATGTTGATTTCGCACGTTTGCTCTACCCTACTGCACATTTGGTAGTATAGGCAGCAGGCAGCACCGTGTATGATGCGGGGACGCATAAAGGAAGAAAAAACAGTACAAATCATGTACTACATTTATAACACACATAAGACAAATAGTGGCCTCGCCAAGATGCATTTAGGGTACAGTGAAGCGTGAAGTTGCTGGAAGTGTTTGGTGTAGTCGTGTTTGGAGTAACGTGGCAAATAAATAAGGATATTATCTCGTGCAGGGTAGGAAGGTGGCAGCTACTTGACTTTAAAGACAAGGATTGTCAAGATAGTGCCAAACCACTGCCTACGACAACATGTTTTCTGACACCATTCTTATTGTTTTTATATCAATATGCACTGCATTGTTTGGAGAAGGTAAGTATGCAAACGTGAAGAGGTTGAAATATGTTTGAATTACCGTGTCTTGAAATATGATGTAATATATACAATCAGCACCAATGTAAGTCATGACACTAAGGTGTGTCAATATGATGGTCAAGGTGACCAGATTTAATCAGAACAATTAAGTTACATCAGCATGAGTCCAAAAAACTGCCCACATCATGGTATTTTGGAACTTGGGTTAAAATGTGTCACTGAACAGTTCTGCATAGAAAGCATCAAAGTTGGGTGTATTTGTGATCCAGTGACATCAGACAGAAGCTTGATCCAATATTGCTATTATATGTTAGTATTATGGTATATGATATGGTTGGGTTATTGATATTTTTCAAAAAAAACCTGCTAGATATATATTGCCTAGCTTTGTTGATTTTTGTTTACCCCAATTTGAAATTCACTGTGAATAAGTTATAAGTGATGCTTCCCAAACCAGGGGTGATATAATGGGAAGGTAGAAATGCACTTATTGGGTTATTTTGTATATTGAGGACATGTGTGTGTGTCTGCTATAAACATGAACAATAATCCACAACACATGAATGAGGACACTTATAAAGAAACAAGGCAATTCATTCTCATATTGATCTGTTGCACCCATATGTAAAAGTAAAACAATTTGTAGTGTGGTTCATCTGGATTTTAGAGTCAGCTACTTTTTGGAATACCAATAGTTATTCCCTTTGAGAATGTTGATTTTTCTGACTTGTAAGTATCTTTTAACCTTTTTATAGTGATTTTGCCTGTCAAACAATTATGCTATTTTTATATGAATTCCACATAACACTACTACAGTTCTACTAACACTTCTACTGATTATGAAACAGGTTTGCAACCATGTCAAATATTAAATAGCAGAGATAGTGATGTCTTTCTTTCTGTCTTAGGCAGCTGTCCTGTGGACTAAAAAGAGCAATAACAGAAGCACCACTACCAATGGCTTTCCAGTCATGAAATAAATTGTAAGGCAAAAATTGACAGAAATTCTCAGTGTGTGCAGGGGGGGGGGGGTAGATGCTAAACTATGCTTTATATATGTCTTCCCAGGTGTTAAATGTAAAGTTTCAGCCTTCATTGCTCCCACTGTCCAGCTGGGCTGCTGGGTGGCAACTTAGGGTGCTGGATGGTGCCCCAGCATGCCAGGTAGTCTACAGTGATGGGTGGCACCTCAGAGTACTAGGTAGAGTCCCACGATGCTGAGTAACACTACCCAGGGTGTTGGGTAGTACTGCTGCTCCTCCTAGAGGACATGCAAATGCTCCTGGCTGGCCATACATAGGCAGTTCTTTTTTCAATATTTTAAAACTTTTTTCAAGATAATAGGAGCAAGTGATGGATTAGCCAGAATATATTCCTTCCATGCATTTTATGTCATTAACAACCATGCATTATACCTTAATATGGGATAGAATGCAGGGAGATATTTTGCTATCCAGGGTTGGGTGAAAAGTCCATAATTTTTCAAGGTGAGCATTGGATGCCACATCCACATTGGATTGTTATTACAAGCTTTACATCTGCACATCTGCATGTGTGAACTGGATCTACATCTGATACATTTTGTGCTAGATGTTACACTGTTTTTGTTATATGTTGATGATCATCTAATCCTGTGGTATCATTCTCGCCTTCAAGGACTCACATGGCTGCTAGTTTACCGAAGTGAAAAGTATCAGAAGCTCAAGGCCGAAGTAGAAAGGCAGAGCAAAAAACGTAAGTTCGGCGTTTTGCGCGCGCGACGCATTCCTTACTTAAAGCTTCGCGACCTTTCACTATGAAGGGTAAACAGATGATGCTGACATTGATTATTTGTGCACCATTATTGGCCCAGTACCACCCGATATAATTTTTCGGACTGTCTTACCACTAACTACCTCCTGCCAGCATTGTAGGATCGACAACAGTGTTACTGCTGGTATTTGTCGTTTTGTGGTGCTTTAAGGCGCGCCAACTGCAATCGTCATGTAGCACGCGGCCTTAGAAAATGTATTTGAGCGGGGCTGCAACATATATGTGATGTGCGTGTACCGCAGTGGAGCGGAAAAAGGAGGCTAGGGGAGACGCCAGCGATCGGCAACAAAAGAAGAAGATCGAGAGGGAGGAAGAGAGGCTAAAAACCAACAGTCGCGAGCTCTCCATGGTCAAGATGAAGTCCATGTTTGCAATCGGTTTCACGTTCACTGCTCTCCTCAGCATGTTCAATTCAATGTAAGTCGACGCTGTGCGTCACGACGCCTCGCAGAACTGTCACATGTACAGCATATTCGGCGCAATACTGGCATCGTTCTCGTGTGTGTTCTTTCCGGACTACTAGTAAGACGTACACGCTGGACAGAAATGCTGTTCGATCAAGTTTGTATCGGCCTACGTCGACATGACTTTGTTTCCCAGGCGTAAAGCTCGATGATATGCGGTCGGTTGCACCTGCTCGTTGCGCCACCTCCATTCTCCGGCAGTGATGCTCAGTTTGTCATCGGTGCGGCGTGATGCTCAGTTTGCCACTGCCACACGATGACGTCACTGGCGTTGTGTGCCAGGCATTCATTGGCTGTGACGGCTTCGTCCATGGCGTTTCAGTTTTGACGGCCGGGTGGTGGCTCGTCTACCTTTCGAGCCGATCTCGTTCGTGCGCGGCTTGTCGCACCGGAATCTGGTGGGCGAGGACTTCAGGGACTGCTCCTTCATCTTCCTCTACATCCTCTGCACCATGTCCATCAGACAGGCGAGTGTTCGGCGGCGTCCTTCGCCCGCTCTCGTAGCGTCGATGGACGCCTTTCTGTCGATGTCGATGCAGATTTGGATTATGGAAGGGCCTCGATGGTTCCTTTTCGTGCACAGGTATAGTCCGGCTGCTTGGAAACGCAGTTAGTTTGTGCGTATGCCTAATCGGTGATTGTTTTGCAATGTGTCCACTATCAATTTTGTTTCACGCATGTGAGCAACGTCACGGCAGAACCCGTCGGGTCCGCAGCAGGATCCGTCGGATCTCTCCACGGTATCCGGGCCGCACCCCGACTGACAGCCCCTCCCCGTCGCGCTGCAGAACATCCAGAAGCTGCTGGGCTTCGCGCCGTCGCGGGCGGCCAGCAAGCAGAGCGGTTTCTTCCAGCCCCCGAGCCAGCAGAGCTAGGGCCGGCCGCGGCCGCCGCCAGCGGTGCTGGGCGGAAGTGGACTGGCGCGCGCGACGACTATAGCCGCCCGGGGACCGCGTCGGAGGCACGTGGCGCGGCCTGCGCCCGGCGCGCGAGGCCGGGGCACTGGTGCAGCTGGCGGCGCCGTTGATCCGCTGCCTGTGTGGTGCGCGGTGCCGCCCGTACCCTCCGAAGGAGCGGGCTGGGTGGCGTGGGCCGCCAGTGCGGTTGTTTGCCGATTGAATACACGCTGTGCGATTGCGTTCCGGCGTACCAATCTGCAGGCGGCCGCGCGTCAGGCGGGCGAACCGGTCTAGCGACGAGAATTTGGCGCGATAGAAGGCAGACGCCTGCCGCTCGAGACGGCACGGTATTCAGTGACACACCGCAAATATCACCGTCTTTGTATTGGCTGAACATTTGACGAGCATTCATCTTCTAACGCGGCGTACGCTGCAGCACCGCCGTCATGAGGCCCCAGCGGCCCGCCGCTGCCTGGGGCGTCACAACGGGGCGGCACCGGCGGGACCCGCTGGGAACTGCTCTCCCCAGACCGGACCTCACCGGCCGCCCAACACGGCCTCGCCCGCCGGTACTGCTCGCGCGCCGCGCCCCACCCAGCGGGTGGCACTCATAACTGGCCGAAGACCGGCGGGGTCGCACGCAGCCATTGGGCCAGTGCCGGGACGTTATGGCCAAACACGACGGCTTGGCGAACCGTCAACGCAGAGGTGGGGTTGTCACGTCACAAAGGGTCGCTGACTGTGGCATGATTACGCATTCCACGGACATGAGTGGCGGAGTGCGGCCATGACGTCACTTCGGTCAGATCGCATGGTAACGCATCCCGTGTCCACGAGAGGCAGTTATTCATTCGTCAAACGGGATGCCGATTGTCAGATACCCATTATCAGATGTCTTTACCGCTGGGCGACTAGGTTACACGCACCACGATTCACCGGCGTCGCGGCGTCGCACCACCGAGCGCATCGACGCCGCAGACTCGGCTCATCCTGGGCGCTAACAGGTGCAGACTACATCATCGCAGCCGCCTACGTCACGGCCGTCCGCCGCTGAGCGAAGACCACGGCCTCACAGGTACCAGCCGTCGCAGGCCGACCCAGGGCAGCTCGCCAGCGTTCATGCTTTACACGCCGCGGCTTGTACAAAACAAACTGGCAAACCACACAGTACAAATTGCACGACAGGTCTAGCACAGGCAAACATTCCCAGTGACGGCTAGTCAGCCCGCACTAAGTTTGTCAAGAACTAGAAAGGTAACAACTGGCAGAGCAGCCTGGCGCACCACAGCGACCTGCCGCGCTGCTGGTGGCACAGCTCTCCCCGCTCGGGCCGAGGTGGGCTCATCTTGAGCACCAGAGCCACCCTAGCACGTGACTACGGCTGGGCGCGCGGCCGGAGGTCCCACCCAGCCTCCGCGCCGGGCCGGCCTGGCCGGGCGTCCCACCCGTCTGCCGCCTACATCGCCTCCCGCTGGGCCTCCCATCCGCCTCTGGGGTGCCCTTCCCGGAGCTGTCCCAGATCCCTTACGAGTGCGTACCGTCCCACCCCCGCCCGCCAGCCCCGCGTACCGCCTCGGCGGCTGTCGTCACACGATGTTCTGCTCCAGCAGCGGCTTGTTCTCCAGCACGCGCTTGAATCCCATTCGGGTGAGGTCGATGGTGCGGAACTCCCCATCCAGGATGTGCTCGGAGATGGCGCGTCCCACCGCCGGCGCCTGCTGGATACCTGCGGCCGGGCGGCGAACGTCGGAGGTCAGAGGTCAGAGGTCGGAGGTCCCGGGGTCACGCAGTCGGAGGTCCTCTGGCGCTTGGTGGCGAGGGTCGGAGGCCAGCACCGCGGCCCGGTCGCCAGCCACGGACGGACGGTGCGGCTGTGGAGAGGGACATGGCGGCGGCGCGGGGCGGGGGCGGGCATGAGTGTCGCGCAGACGCCGCGCCCACCATCGCCGCCGGCGGATGGACTCCGTCACTGTTGGAATGTGCGCTGGAACGTGACGGTATGGGCCAGACAACTCCCATTCCCACGGGACGATGGTCATCCCGATGTATAGCCAAGACTGCAAGACCACCCAGCGAAAAACTCGTTATGTACCGAGCGTCCAACAACGCCAAAACCACCTCGCATAAAAACCAGCGCCAGTATTTTCGCCCTGCCGGCCTCACTGTGTGTCTGCGTCTGCGCGTCTCACCATGTGTCTCACAATATGTCTCACCGTGTGTCTGTGTCTGCGCGTCTCGCCGTGTCTCACCGTGTCTCACCGCGTGGCTGTCTGCGGGTCCCACCGTGTATCTTACCGTGTGTCTGCGCCTGTGTGTCTTACCGCATGTCTGTGTCTGCGTGTCTCACCGCGTGTCTCACCATGTATCTCACTGTGTGTCTGTGTCTGCGCGACTCACCGTGTATCTCACCGTGTCTCTGTTTGCGTGTTTCACCATGTGTCTGTGTCTGTATGTCTCACTGTGTGTCTGTGTCCGTGTTTGTGTGTCTCGCCGTGTGTCTCACCGCGTGTCTGTGTCTGCGTGTCTCACCGCGTGTCGCACCATGTATCTCACCGTGTGCCTGTGTCTGCGCGACTCACCGTGAATCTCACCGTGTCTGTGTCTGCGTGTCCCACCATATGTCTGTGTCTGTGTGTCTCACCATGTGTCTGTGTCTGCGCGTCTCACCATGCGTCTCTGTCTGTGACACGGGGTGAGACATACGTCTCACCCCGTGTCTGTGTCTGCGTGTCTCACCGTGTCCGCTGAAGCCGGTGGCCAGGAACATGTTGTGGTGGTACGGATGCGGTCCGATGATGGCGTTCTGGTCCAGCGTGTTGTAGTCGTAGAAACCCGCCCACGAGCTCTTCACCTGCGGAGCCGCGGCCTGTCAGCGGCGCCACCGGACGCGACGCTCCGCGTGCGTCACACTCAACACCGGGCGGGGCGAGGGCGAGAAGGGAACACACTGGCTCTTGTGTGGAGCGCGACGGACGTGGCGCGAGGTGTGGGCCATAACGCGCCAGCATCGTGCGAAGTTTCGGCTGCTGTGCGCCGCAACGCGTCTCTTTCCGCGCGATCCGACGGAGAATACGAGGCTACCAGCGGGGGCGCACACGAGGTGGAGGCGTACCACCCGCCCTCATCGCCGCGAATATACATGCCCCGGAGACATCGCTGTAATGAGGGAAATACCGGTGTCCGAAGGGCAGCTAACTTCGCACAGCTGAGTCGCGAACAGCAGCACCGCTAAGCGTACACAAGAGGCTCAAACACGCGACAAAACAGGCGTCACACGCGCACGCAACACCCTCTGTCGAGCCACAGCATGGACTGCTCCCATGGGGCCTCCTTCCTTCACCTATCCTGTGTGCAGACCTGACCACTTGTGCACCGGCAGAATGGCGGCAAGCACTACGGAACGCACGCGGCCACCCGCTCCCCCCCCCTCCCCCCCCCCCACACGCACACGACGGGACGGGCCGCCTCGGCAGAACGCGTCAGCTACCTTGAGGTTCTCGAACGAAGGCACACGCGCCGCCAGGTTGGCCCAGATGTGCGACTGGAAGTAGCCGTGGTCCACCTCCAAGTCACCAGTGTCCGGCTCCGGGTCGTCGACCGCTCCTGCGCAGCGAGGTCACAGGTCACACGCCGTGAGGGCGCGCGTCGCGGACAGCTGGCACGCGGCACGAGCGGCGAGCGACGGGAGGGGGGCTAGGCGGGGAGAGACACGGAGAGCCAGGGCGGAGAGAGAGGGCGGGTAGCGTCACGAAGGGTGCGAGCGGGGAGCGACGGTGGGCGCGAGCGGGGAGCGCCGCGGAGGGTGCAAGCGGGGAGCCACGGAGGGCGCGAGCGGGGAACGACGGAGGGCGAGGGCGGAGCGGACAACACAACCTGGGGCGAACTGGGACGCAGGGCTCAAGCGACTCGAAAACCAGGCGGATGAGGTGAATCATGAGTGGATTGTGGATGTGTGTGACATTACTAACCACTCAGGTCCCAACACAACAGCAGGGTGGCAACACGATTCATATCATTCTGTATTTGGGTCAGTACAGTGCTAAAAGAAACATGACATCCTTCGCTACACGCGCCTGTGTTGTGTGAACCTCCAGCTTAACTAACAGTGACCCTGTAGTAGCTCACCCGCACGTGCCCATTCGTATAAGCTAGACCATCCGTACCCCGTAAGGGAAAAAGGCAAACAAACGTGCGCTAGCTGACGCGTTTGTAATCATTGCGCAGACTGCAACCTTTTAACAGCGCCCTATGGACTTCTTTCAAGAGCTTCCAACACCGCTCGCACGTTTCCTGAATGTCCCTCACGCAGGGCTCACGACGCACACTCGGCAGTTTAACAGCGCGTGCCGCACGGCAAAACTGGCCGCAGCCGCCTGACCTGTGGGAGACTTCCCGCAGATGTAGTGGCCACCGAGCCCCTCGCGCCGGAAGTACGTGCCCGTGGGGTCCACCAGCAGCGGGCAGTCGAGGCCCGGGCCGTCCGGCGAGTGGTAGAAGTAGACGTACCGCTTCCTGGCGGCGGAGGTGGCGCGTCATCGGTCGTCAGCTGAGGACGGCGTCGGCGGGGCCTCCAGAGACGGCGGTGACGAGGTGGCGTGAGCGCACGGGTCATCAAGTGGGCGCAGACGCACGGGTGCAGCCCACGCCCCGGCGGTGCCCGCGCGTACGTCAGCACACCAGGGGTCGAGCGCCGTCCGGGACGGCATCACGCCCCGAACAAGCCATCAAAGGTGGAGTACACAGCTTGGCGGGGCGATATCACGCGGAAAAGGCCCACAACTGATCACACACGCCGCCTGGCGCACATCCTTCAGTCCCGACCTGAGCGGCATCCCTTGAGACCGAAGGTCGCTACGCCAACAATGACGTCACATGTGCAGCCGTTCAAAACGGCGCACCGCGCGCGCCGTTTCACCCGAGCTCGCCGGAGCGCGCGCCGGTGGCGGCGCACCTGGGCTCGACGGGTACGGGCATGGCCAGAAGGCCCTCGCCCTCGCCGATGCCGGCCAGGCGGGCCACCTCGGCCGTGTTGGCGCCGGCCGCCGTCACGAACACGGCCGCCTTCACCGTCTTCACCTCACCGTCGGCCTGCCGCACCTGCGGCGACCGGTGTGACGTCACTGTGGCGTCGCCGCCTCGGCGCAGTCCGTCAGCTCACCGAAGCTACGTCATTGACGTCACATGAGAAACGCCGCGAGAAGCCCGGCTGATGCGACTCGGCTACGCTGACTGGCACCACGTGAGAAGCACGGTCCGACTGTGCCACACTGTATCGGCCTGCTGGCGTTGTGCGCCCCCTGAACAAGGCGCATTTCAAGAAAAAATGAACTGACGTCCCGCGACGAACAAAGGCTGGCTTCCGCGCCTCGGCCACCCACTAACACCACCTTAAACGCGCGACTTGACAAAGGTGCTCTTCGGATGCAGTCCAACGAACGCCATTTCCGGCAGATGGCACCAGCCTAAGGTACCCTTACTAATCAAACGTAAACTCAAATACATACCGGCACATACGCATTTCCTATCACGCGGAATAAATAACATGACGCCACAAAGCCCTTCGCCACAGCTCATCCCAGGTCGCATCCAGCGCCTAGCCACGGTCTGTGACACCATCCAGTGAACACAGTCACCAGTGCTCGGCTCGCGCCGTGCCTTACCACCACCCGGTCCAGGACGTAGTTGCCCCCCGCCACCGACTGCCTGCCCGCGACCTGCATGTTCGCCACGTATCTGTCGACACGGCTCAGGTCGGCTACCACGCTCCAGTACAACAGGGCACGAACAATGTCCGGTACAAGTAGTGGCAGTTTCACGAATGACTCGAGCGGTGGGTGACAACTGTATCAGAGCATCAAGCACCAACCGGTCTTGAACGTGATCGATGGCGGCTGAAACAACGTCATGATCGTGACCACAGGAACCCCTGCGACATCAGCGAGATTAACTGAGCGTGAGCAGCGCACTTGCCTGGACTCGAAGCCGGCCGCCTCGCCCTCCACATACTCGACCCCCATGTGTGTGGCCTTGCGTCGGAACGCCCGCAGAAGCAAGTGCGGGTCAAACCTGCGGCAAACGCCAGTGGTTTCTGTGAATTCAGCACGTGAGCCCAATGGTTTCAGCAATCCCCTGAAGCCATTCTGGGTCAGCCCAGCCACAAGTCGGGGAAAGGGAGAAAATTCCTACCCCGTTCTCCGCCGTGACTCTGACCACTAAGGCGGGCTGAGTCCTGCCCACGCCACTCCCAAGTGATCACACAACAGTCTCTCGCTCCCCTAACCATGTCACGCAGGTGGAAGTGCAACGGCAGGGAGCGCACGAGCCACTTATCGCTATCAACAGCGTGCATAGCCAGTCCAGAGCCAAGAGGCGCGCGGTGAGAACAGAGCACGCTTACTACTCATCGTTCTCCGTCTGTGATAGGCAACATGGCGACTGGTGAGAGCGGGAGCGAGCACGCGAGCACACGTAACATCCCTTGTTATCCTGGCCATGGCACGCGAACACACGTAGCATCCCTCATTCTCCTGGTCATGACATGCGAACACACGTACCATCCCTCGTTCTCCTGGCCATGGCACGCGAGCACACGTACCATCCTTTGTCCTCCTGGCCATGACATGAGAACACACGTACCATTCTTTGTTCTCCTGGTCACGGCACGCGAGCACACGTACCATCCCTCGTTCTCCTGGCCATGGCACGCGAGCACACGTACCATCCCTCGTTCTCCTGGCCATGGCACGCGAGCACACGTACCATCCCTCGCTCCCCTGGCCGCGGCACGCGAGCACACGTACCATCCCTCGTTCTCCTGGCCGTGGCACGCGAGCGCCACACCGTCCGTGTTGACCCAGGGGAAGCGCTCCTTCATCCGGGCCGGCGTCATCAGCTCCACCTTGGCGCCGTTCTCACTGTCGGGAGCCGAGCAGACACTGCATCAACGCCTCACGTGTGTGGACAGCGGACGTCAACGTCTCACGTGCGTGGAAAGCGGACGTCAACGTCTCAGTGTGTGGACAGCGGACGTCAACGTCTCACGTGCGTGGACAGCGGACGTCAACGTCTCAAGTGCGTGAAGAGCGGACATCAACGTCTCACGTGCGTGAAGAGCGGACGTCAACGCCTCACGTGCACGGAAAGCGGACGTCAACGTATCACGTGTGTGGACAGCGGACATCAACGTATCACGTGTGTGGATAGCGGACGTCAACGTCTCACGTGTGTGGACAGCGGACATCAACGTCTCACGTGCGTGAAGGGCGGACATCAACGTCTCACGTGCGTGAAGAGCGGACGTCAACGTCTCACGTGCGTGGACAGCGGACATCAACGTCTCACGTGCGTGAAGAGCGGACATCAACGTCTCACGTGCGTGAAGAGCGGACGTCAACGTCTCACGTGCGTGGACAGCGGACATCAACGTCTCACGTGCGTGAAGAGCGGACATCAACGTCTCACGTGCGTGGACAGCGGACATAAACGTCTCACGTGTGTGAAGAGCGGACATCAACGTCTCACGTGCGTGAAGAGCGGACATCAACGTCTCACGTGCGTGGACAGCGGACATCAACGTCTCACGTGCGTGAAGAGCGGACATCAACGTCTCACGTGCGTGGACAGCGGACATAAACGTCTCACGTGCGTGAAGGGCGGACATCAACGTCTCACGTGCGTGGACAGCGGACATAAACGTCTCACGTGCGTGAAGAGCGGACATCAACGTCTCACGTGCGTGGACAGCGGACGTACACGCATATTGCACCGGCTTGCCACGAGGGTGTGGACGCCTGAGTGAAGCCAGGTCATGCAACATGTAAAATCCTAGGTAGCCACGTTCGGGATGGTTCATTGTGCGCATGGGGGAGCACATAGGATAATCCAGTATGCGCCCACCAGGTGCAAGGTGGGACAGTCACATGCCAGCTGACAGCACGTTGCAATATTTAATTAGTCAGAACCAGGTATGGTGCAAACATGGACCAAGGCTATAGCATCCATCATGAGAAATATTCAACACTAGCTAGGCTAGGCCAGGCCAGGCCAATCTAGGTCAGGTCAGGTCATGAAGGTCAGGTCAGGCCAGGCCAGTCAATGTAAAGGTTGACGGGCCAGGTCAGGTTGGTCTATAAACAGTTTAGGTCAGATAAGGTACAGCACAGGCACATGGATAACAAAAGATACAAACCTGCATATGACATACACAATTCACTGGCATGACATGCACATCTAGGCAACATGCCACACACACTCAGCTGACATAATGTGTACATCTGGGTGACATGGCGCGCACACTTGGCTGACAAGCCCCATACACCTGGGTGGCAGGCCACATACACTCAGACGACAAGGCATTTACACCCCAGTGACATGCCACACATGCTATGTTGACATGATATGCACATCTGGGTGACGTGGCACGCACACTCGGCTGCCGTGGCACGTACATCTGGGTGCGGTAGTTCTCCTCCAGCCGGGCGGCCCGGTCGGGCGCGGCGCACATCAGGTACCCCTGCGGGTGGAACTGCACGTCCGGCGGCTCCTCGCCCTCCACCGCCAGGAAGCGGTTCACGTTCCGCAGGAACTGCGCCGAGAACATGGACATCTGGATGTTCTCGGGCAGTGAGAACTGCTGGCGCAGCCCGCCGACCGAGAGCGGCGTGGACGCCGTCCGGTACTGTGGACAGGTCGGCGGCGGGTCAGCGGGGACAGACGCTGGGGAAGGGGAGGGGGACGGGAGGCGGAGATCAGCCGGTCGCCTATCAGGCAGTCACGCAGCCATCGCCAGAAGCTTTACTAGAAACTGGCGGGGGTTGGCCAGTGTGGCTGGATCGCGCATGTGGAATGACATTCAGCCTCAGCTGTATTAGCTGTGTATCAAATGTCTTCATGTTTCATTCCTTTTTCCCAATATCTACACGAAATCGCGACGTTCACATCCGGCGAAAGACGCGGGTGTGTTCACAGCCGGCGAAAGGCGCGGACGCACTACCCAGTCGACACAATACTACATCAACACTTGACTAGAGCACCACGTCGCTTAAACAGAACACAACCATCCCCGGCTCTCTGCTCGCGCCAGCACCACCGACACCACATTTCCAGTCCCGACCCCCAGCGCTCACCGTCGAGTCGCGCTCCACGACCACCACCTGTACCGCCGGGCCGGCGCGCAGCTTCAGCCAGAAGGCGATGGCCGAGCCCATGATGCCGCCGCCGATGATGCAGACGTCGCAGTGGGACGGGTAGTGGGTGCGGCTTTCGTGTCCCTCCCACAGGAAGCGCATGTCTGCCTTGAAGAGGCGCGCCACGCGCGAGAACGGGTCCTCTGGCGGTGGCGCCTTCTCCCGCGGGATGGTCTGGCCGGGCAGGCGGGGCGCCGGCGGCGACGGCGGCGGCGCGTCCTCACTGTCCGCCGGCCGCGCCCGGCTCGTGTGCAGATGGCACGAGGGGCGCGCGCCGCCGCACGGCTCCAGCTGGCGGCGGCAGCGCCACGTGCGCCGCGCGCAGGTACGCAGCATGGTTGTAGGTGGCTGATGAGGTGGAGTGGAGCAGCCACTACTGGGTCACAAAGAGGCTGGAAGAAACCCAAACACATCAGTATATTGTTTGAAAATTTCAGAGGACTTTTCAGGCTTGAGTAGATTCAAATTGTATTATACTTAACATGGTGGCAGCAGAAGTGCTATGTAGTAGGTGAAAAGCAGTCATTTTTAAAGTGATTCCTTTTGGTGCAAGACAATGAATAAACATTAAACTTTTCTCTAGTTGGGAAAACAGAAAGCTGTTCTCTCTACTCACCACTCCTTCAAGCCTGCCAAGCCTACCCCCCCCCCCCCCAATCCAGAGTAAAATTTGTCTGCAACACAATATAAGGCAGAGTAAATGTGTAAGGAATGTTAAAATATATATTAAAGCAAAGTTTTTGCCATTTTTGTCATGACTACAACATTGTTTATTTCAGATGGGCATCATGACTCTTGTACTTAATGCACCCAAAGGCCCAAATCATCATCATTATCATCATACTTATTTGATTTGGTTGTGTGAATATTCTTTATTTAATAGCACCTATTTATCTAGCCAGCTACCACTCTTCCAGAGTTCTGTCCAATGGTGAGTGTAATTCTTTAAGCTTTCAACTACATTGTGCTACATTGTTCAGGGTGCGAAATGTGTGCAACATGAACATCAGCAAAAAAGCCAGACTGTCATGGAATTTATGTTGTGCATCCTATCAATTTCCAGGGAAATACATACATGCCTGTAATATAACATGATTGTAAATGGTTGAATATGCACACATTTCTGACAAAACATACATGCACTATGCCTATGAAATAGCATCTCATTCTTGTGTCAGCTGACACACAGATTTATGTAGAGAACATTCACATATACCAATGTATATAAGCAATAAACACATCACCATACTCACATACCAAATATATGTCATCTAGAAATTAAGCAATGCTGGCCTTGAACACATGTGTTCAGGACACAGTTTCTGGCAGAGGGATTGAGTGCATAAGCATATGTTGGTATTTCATGTAGATATCAGGCAGGCGTAGAATAAAAATGCAAGGCAGAAAAGACCTTCAATTAGGCATTGTGTGGTTGTTTGGGGGGGGGTGCGGGAACGAATACGGATTCAGCGTCTTTAACAGATATATCCATATATACAGAGGACATGAAAATTAAAAACAATCACAGCATTTTCATGACACCCTAAAACAATGCAGAGCGACTACTTAAAAAATAAACGCGCACATACGAACCGGCAGCGCTTACCAATCGCACGATGTGCGCAGCTTTACACTACGCGTTAACGGATGTATTAGCTGCTGCTTCCACCACTAGGTCGCAAATAATTTCCATGTCATCTAGTATATTTTAGCATTCTTCTGAATAACTCGTTACATTATGATACTACTAAAAATTATTGTATAGAAATTTTGATGAGATTTTACCATTTAACTTACAACTTTATAACGAATAGATTGTACTCTGGTGGCGAAAATAAAAACTATTCTTACTCAGTGAAGTGCACCGCGAGGCCCGCGTAAGGGTAGCCAGGTAAGCGTAGTTGCGGGTGTTAGTTGCTCGTGTTCGATGTGAATTGATGAATTTACAACGTTATAACTACAACGAGGAATGATAAATGATTGTTGACTGACACGGGAAAACGCAATATGATTATTCTTGGCATAGGCCCACCTCGTACTTTGCGCGTGTTGTGTTGAGTGTTGTGATTATCAGTTTCACAGTCATTGGTATTTTGGGAGTTAATGCTCCATTCCTTTATGAAAATCATGCAGATGCCAGTCAGCAAACCACGTCATCAACATGGACAGTTTGCTTGAACTAGGTTTTATTCTTCAACATGCAGGATCCTGTCTTGATTTAGTTGGAGCCGTGGTTAAAGTGGCCACCTGATCAACACCCATGCTGCGGTGGGTTTTAGTCGCCTTAGTTGTTTGCCACTTTTTTGGCTTGGATGGCCTGCTGTTGATGGCAGTGGTCATGCCTGCATGACAGGGCAGTGATCATGTAGTGTCCCTCAGATTTGTGGCTCTGCATCCTGCCAAGCCATTTTGCTCAAGGGGAGATCCAGAATACTGCCTGTGTTGTGGGTGGGTGTGTATGAAGGGTGCCTGTTAGTAACTCTGGCCTGGTAGGCTTAAATCTAAGGTTTCCAGATTTTCACAGCTCTTCAGACCTTGCTTTGCTATACCTCCAGGGTTGTTTTGAAACATGCTTCTGTTGGTTGCATCTGCCTATGTTTTATTGAATATTCAGAACTGTGAGAAGAATAGCCTAACAGGGACTATTTGGAGACATTGCCCATTTTTACCTATTGTGTCTACCCCATAATTTAAAAATTCAAATGAAAACAGAATAAAAATAAAATAAAAATAAAATTTAATAATATAATAATAATAAAATTTAAATTAAAATAAAATAAAGGCATTTGGCTCTTTTTTGGCATTATGTGCCCGGAGGTCTTATCCCGTATACTGAGTTATTGACCTTTGATATACCATAAAAGGCTGTTGAAAGGACAATTAAGTGAACACATTGCTTATAATAAAAGTACTTGATGCTTCAAGCCACTCACATTATTTTTCCTTGATACGCTTTCCTTTTATGTTTGGCATAAAAATTTCAAAAGAAGCATGACATGCCTTGGCTTAATAGTAATATTAGGTCTTATACAGGAAACAAACAAATCTGTAGTATAATAGGAAGAATAGGTCTGATTAAGATATGTGATGTGCCAAGTGATCATCAAAATATGTGATGAGAATGCTCATTGCTTAATAGCAGGTCTTGAACATGGTTTTTATTGACTCCTGATCAATTCTGGTGCTCAGTGTTGATTATGATCAGCATGCTGTTCATTTCAAGGTTTAAGGCTCTCAGCCAGTGAAAACCTCCTGTCTTAGAATGCTTGCAGTAAGCAATCGTGCTTTCCACCATGGCACTCAGGGAGTAGTTACTTTTGTGATTAGACCCAAAAATCTAATCTCAGTTGCAGATAACTGCTTTTTTTCTATCCCTTCTTTAGCTGATGAGATCAAGCCTGGTCCTTATGATATCTGTACTGGACAGGTAGTGTTTGAATGCAGCTTATTTCAGAGGAAGGTTATTCCCACCATTGTTTGCTTGCGTCTTCCATTCAGACCCCAGCTGCCCAGGCTGTGGGGTGCCCATCATCACTAAGTTTTCACACTTAAAACAGGTTGATTATATATTGGTAGGAGAAAAGACCAGAGCATAGGATGTGGAAGTGCTGGTGATTGCAGTATGCTGTAGGACACACAGGGCCCATGGTATGGCAGGTTTGAAGGCAAAGGTTCGTCTGGAGAAGTTTGTAATAGTAAAAGGTTTGTTTTTGTATTGTTCTCTGTAAATCTTTCAGTCCAGAAATATTGCTACCAGTAACATAAGAGACACTTCCTTTAATGTGTTTGACATTGAAGGAAGTGTTCCACATTTCTAGGAGGGTGAACTGAAAGAGCTATGTTTAAGACTTCTCAAGGCAAGTCATAGCTCTACCCTTCTTAGGACCTAATCTGCTCTAGTTCCTGAGCTACACACCAGTGAAAATTGGGAGAGTATTTCAAGGTCACCTTGGCACTCATGATGTCATGATAACATTACTCAAATTCTGCCAATTCATGAGCCATGTAGCAATCAAGGTCAAGAGGAATAGAATGGTTGAGTTGCTTATACCTGGCATTCATGAGCACAATTTACAGATATAGCAGCCATTGATTGGCTCACAATCAATGTTGTGCAAGGTATCATGATGAAATCGGTCAATGATGTATTGAGGAGCATATTTATTAAACACAAAAATTTTGTTGTCTAGAGCAGTCTTCTGCTTAAAAGTGTGCCAATAGATATAAGTGAGCTTGGTTCATCATATCTTATGCTTGCTTCAAGATCTGCAAATATGAAACATCCACATTTTGTACATCTCATGTACATTTCCTTGAGGTGGTTGTTTGTTTTCAAATCGTCTAACAGTTTAACACTATTTCAGGTGATCAGCACCATCTACACCTGGTTTCACATTGAAGCAACCAGAGATAGAGATGACGAAAACAGTCGGAGTTCACTGGTTCCGACATGGACTTCGTCTCCATGACAACCCAGCCCTCGCGGAGTTGTTGGCTACTTGTAGTGAGGTGTACCTGATATTTATCTTCGATGGAGAAAGTGGAGGTAAAGGTGCATGTGGTTATAGTCTTAGTGTGAGTAAGGGTTTTCATGTACCTGTTTGTATTGCCCCTTACCCCACACTTGAATGCCCGAACAAATGTAATCCATTCAGCGTTACAAATGTACTTTTATGCCATAGTTTGCAGAGAACTATATCCCTCAGACTGCAAGGCGAATTATCTGTGAGTGGTGGGCAACTGGGGGGGGGGGGGGGGGGGGGGGGGGGCAACGTATTAAGCGCGCAGCAGGCTACCCATGCACCTCTGTTCTATGACACGATATTTGCAGTGAACATTTCACTGTGCTCAAAGGTAAGTACTGCCGTCGATTAAGTATCAAACAAAACCAATTGTATGCAAGGCCGCGACAAGAAATGCCGCAGCATTCCAATGGAATGCGATGGCTTTCATTTTTATCTGACGCACGGTCGCTGTTATGGGTGCTGACCTTTGATGTCGGTGCGCCCTAAAGCTTCAAATGATCATCGTCCCATTCAGAACCCCGGAGTAAGTAACTGAGTTTTTACAACAGCAAATGCCAGTTTTCCGCACTGAAAAGACCTGCCATTGAGTTGAATGCCATTGAACTGCCATTCCACTCATGTACTAAGAAACGAACCACGAATGAAGTCGCAGCCTCAGCCTGTCTTGACACGCGCCCGGGTGGCCGGCTAGATACCCTTCTTCCGGGTGGGGGTGGGGGGCAATTTGACCCCCCTGAGATCTCGGGAACTAAGAAAGCTAGAGACACCAAATTTGCAGGGTGTCTCGACCTGCACGTGAACTCACTTAGGTCAAATTTTGAGCTCCCTAGGCCATGACCTTCATGTCAAATAGTGTCAAACGAGGTCAAATTCTATGTTAGTCACGAAAGTACCCCAGAACGTAGGAAACTGTTTCTAAGCAAAAGTTCAAAGGCCCATTTGAAGTCGGTGACCTTTTATGACCTTTTGAAGGTCATGGTGACCAAAACCATACAAGACTTCTCTGAGTTTTGCATATGAGTAATCAACAAAGATTATGCTGGGCAATTTGTTCATAAAACGAAATGTCGACCCGGGTCATCTTAGGCCAACGACCTTTTCTGACTTCTAAGAAGTCAATGGAAGATGTATGATGCGGTTCTTGTTGTCAATAAATTCGAAATGAGCACCACAAACTATCCCATACAGCAAGCCCCAAAGTAATCAATCAAATTGGCTGTGACCTTGGTCTGACTTCCATACCTGGCCTTAGGTGATTTTAATTTGCTCATTCAATATTGATTGTGCCTAAGAAGGCATACCAGAGATGTATGGCTTCGTCAAACACTCCGTTATTGTATCAGATTGGACGATTCCCTAGAAATTGCCTCCGCTGAAAGCATGGCCTGACTTTGACCTGCCATAGGTCAGCAACCTTACCAGGTACATCTAAATTTGTATGTCACATGATCCGGTATTCGGTTGTCTACAGCTAAGCCAATTTTGGCGCGGCTGCGCCGCGCCGTTCGGAAACCATTCTGAAAAACCCTCGGGGGGGGGGGGGGTCAATTTGAGCTCCCCACACCCGGGCGCGTATTAATGTCAGTTAAGCATGGCTTCAACAACCTGCTGAACCAAGCTGTGAGGGAGTAGATCTTCGCCACCACTGATTGTACCACCACACAGTTTTCAACGACATGTAGCTTGTACTGCAGTATTGCAATGCCTCATGCCATTTCTCAAATGTCATGTCCCACATGGCATGACCTACAGGTCATCCTACATGGAATGTCCCACATATGCCCCACATGTCATCTTCCACATGTCATGTCCTACATGTCATGTCCCATACGCCATCCCACATGTCATGTCCCACATATCCCGTACCGCATGTTATGTCCCACATGCCATATCCCACATGTCATGTCCCACATGACACGTCCCACACATCTTACCATGTCAGTCTTGCAATGACTGTCATGTCAAACGTTCAATTTAATAACTGGCAAGCTGAAAAAGGCGGTTTAAAACCAGTGCCTGACCTCGGTTACCCCGTCTCACACCGCGTCGAGACCAACATCGTTTGCTAGTGTGGCGGACAGACAGTGGGCTTAACAAGCGTGTTTGTCGGTGCTTGGAACCTGCCGCACGCACATCGTTTCCACGCAAACCATTGGTCCACCGGTTTTGGGACGTTTTTAGGGTCGGTATCAGATATCGCCACATCGACAACCAGGACCGATGAAGGCCAAAAAACCTGCTTAAGGTGGCATGCTTATAATCCGTGCTTACATGAGTTCCCGAAGACGAGAGCTCCACTCTCTTAGAATTCGGTACAACAGGCGTGAGTTAACACTCAGCTCGGTAACCGTTGTCACATCGCCTATTCTACAGGGTGATATACATCCTGGTTTATATCAACGTGTTCGAGACGATCTGCGATGTCGGTTCTTTTTTTGTATTCTTGTGTCATAGTTATTGAGGTTTTGGTATTTGTAATATTTGAGTTGTGTTGTCATCACACATGATGTAGTGTGGGTGACAGCTCATGAGAACTAGCTCACCACATGCAAGTCAAAACGGAAATAACGTTCCATCACCTCATGTGTCTCGATTTTTAAATAAACAAGCTGTGCGGTCCATTGTTTACACGAGCCCCGAGTGCGTTGGGCAATGGGCGTATGTACGCCTTGACGTCATATCGAATCATAATAACTTCCACGAGTTAATCGTATGGTGTCACTTCAGGATTTTTCATGGATGGAAGTAACGTGATGCCTTGTATTTGAAATTGTGTGCATGCATATATTGCTCTAAGTGCTGCACAATGGGCGTTTCATCGCTGTTCGACGTCTGCACACTAAGTGTCGCGTCGCGATGTTGCCGTTCGACATCCGCACACCAAGCAGCGAGTCGCAAGCATGGGTGGCAGACACGTCCCACCGCGGCCACCTCAGCGCGCTGAGCTGTGAGAGGGTCCTCAGGCACGCGACTGATCGGATACAATCGGCTCAAGTTCCTGCTGGAGTCGCTGGAGGACCTGGACGACCAGCTGGCGGCGTACGGCGGCCGCCTGGTGACGGCGCGCGGCGACCCCGTGGACGTGCTGAACATGTTCAGGGCCGACTACGGCATGACCCACCTGAGCTTCGAGCAGGTCAGCCCCGGCCCCGGCCCCGGCCCCGGACTTGGACGGCGTTCTGAGTGGCTCGCGCGGCACGGCGGGGTGCGTGTCTCGGTGGTTCCAAGGCGAGTGCGGTTTTGCTGTGCCGTGGTTACGCCGTCTGAAGCGATTTTTCAAGTATTTGTCGAAGCTTCAATTGATAGATTGATGGGATCAGCGTCCCCGCGAGGAAGGGCTGGTCGCATGAATCTTAACCTCGCTTCCCAGCCGTGAAATGCCGGGTCAACGGCATTGCAGCGAAAGCCCAATGTGCCGCAATGCTCGGCACGGTCCATCCTGTCCTCTAACGTCGCCCCACGCTAAGCGCGACCGATTACGGGCGCTGACGTTTTGTGGACGCGAGAAACCCCTCGCGGCTCACGTGTGTGTGTGACGGCCGGCTTGCGCCGCCGCGCCCCCCCCCCCCCCCTTCCCCCTCCTTTCCCCTCCGCCTGCGGCCAGATGACGCCCGCACGCGCTCCGCAGGACTGCGAGCCGGTGTGGCGGTCGCGCGACGACCGCGTTCGCGCCTGGTGCCAGCAGCACGGCGTCGACGTCATCGAGCGCATCTCGCACACGCTCTGGGACCCGGCCGAGGTGATCGCGGCCAACGACGGCCAGCCGCCGCTCACGTTCGCCATGTTCCACGTGAGTGGCGTCGGGAGAGGACCGCCCGGCCCGGCGGCGGCGCCGTGCGGTCCGGCGGTGGCGGGGCACACGTGAGTGGCGGCGGGAGAGGACCGCCCGGCCCGGCGACGGCGTCGTTCGGTCCGGCGGGGCACACGTCGGCTCGCGGGGCCGCGCCGGCCGAGGCCTCCCTCCGGGTTACCGACCGAGCGCGCCGCCGGACTGGGAGGCCGTTTTTGAGCCGCTCGCTCGACACTCGCCCACAGCCCGGGGGACTGATGGTACGGTTTTGGTAGCACTGAGTTGGCTGCATGATAAGATCGATAGTAGTCCGCCGTGAACCCTGCTTTTTATCGCCGCGCCGCCGGCCGTGCGTTGTCCGGCGCCGTCGGTGACACCGCGGCGGATCTGCTGTTCGCTCTACTCTGTACTCTGACCCGTTACCGCCTGACATTCACCCTACTCTGACCCTGACGTCGCACCCCGTGTCGACCGCAGCAAGTCGCCATGTCGATCGGCCTGCCGCCGCCGCCGGTGCCGTGGACGCCGCTCGACGCGCGCCAGCTGCCGCGCCTGGACGTCGACCGGCCCCACGGACACCCGGTCGAGGTCAGTGGAGCCGCGCCGGCTGCGTTGACCCGGCCGCAGGCGGGCTTGTACTCACGTGGTGTGAGCTGACTGATGTTGAAGTTCTGTGGACTGCCGTCCAAAGGTAAAAAGGTCTAAGGGCCATTGGTTTGCATAACACTTAGGCCTTTTTGCCTGAAGACAGCAGTGTATACTTGGAACCCCTTATTATCAAAGAAAGCCTGTTTTGTAAGATCCTTTTTCCTTCGGTGTTTTGAGTTCGGTCAAACGACCGCATTGGACAATCACTGAAATGTATTACGATAATAGTTGACCTTGTCAGCAGAGCTCAGTCACTCGTGACCGCGAGGACTGCTGGTAACGCTGGCTGTGCCCACGTGCGAGGCCGCAGTCCAAGCGAGCTCCACTTGAGATGCGCACATCTTTTTAACTCGGGCGAACCGGCATAGGCACCGCTCTTTCAAGGCCATCGTCATTGGGGCTTTACGACGCACTCAGCTGTGAGGCTATATGACGTCGCCTGCCTTCCATCCTGGCAGGAAGGACGGGCACCACGGGGAATCGAACCCCGGACCTTTGGTTTCCCAGGCGCGTAGCGGTTACGCAGGCGCGTTAGCCACATCGAGCTTTTAGCAATTTAAAGCGCAAGCTCTGTAAAGGCTGTGTAATTCTACGACACCTGTGTAAACGTTTAAAGGCACGGACATGTTACCTGTTTCATAGCCCAGGCTTTTTCTGCAGCAGCGCAATATCACTGATACCTCTTCCCACATTTGATTAAACGTGGAAACACTGAAATTTCCAACTCGCAAAAATGTCAAGAACATGGATCGAAGCCGGGCCTGGATCTGACCGACCCGGTGTCGCTGCGACGCGACGTCAACGGATGTGAACGGAGGGGAAAAACAGGAAATCGTAATGGCGGGGGTGTGGGTTATTGTGGGCCGGAGGTCACGCGCCCTCGTGCTGTCGTTCGGGGAAGCTGACTGGACTGTTCCGCGTCTCCTGGATGGCTGGGACAGGAAAGTGATAAGACAACATGTCTGTTCCCGCTCTCAAAACGCGACTAAACAAAGCCCTGGCAACTGCCGATCCTGTAGTGTGACAACTGCCTCATATGAGCCGGTGCGGTTTGCGACGCGTAACTGGCTCGCCAGTAGGATGTCGCCGCATCTGTGTCACGGTGCTGGCCGCAGCCTTAGGTCGGGCTGGTCATGCTGTCGATAACTTCCGGCGACAGTCGGTGACTGGGGCAAGAGCAGCCGAATACGTAAAGCGTCCAGTCGATGTTATGTGCTGGGGTTCAGCAGAGCTGTAATGTGACCCGGTTTGGAAGCGGCGCTACGCCGCGGCTCAGTCGTCAGGGACTGTCGAACAACTCGCCAAATGAATCGCAGCATCCTTGACTTAACGGGGACAACCAGTTCTGGTAGATGTTTGGGGGGAAGAGGGCGGGAGGCATGGCCCTCCTTTTTTTATTTACACTTGACAAGAGCCTTTTTGTGATGCGTAGGAAGAACAGACCGAGCGCACGGGTTTGGCCGTCCCACAGTTTGGGTCATTCCCGCGCCCTTTGCGCGCGCTTGTGAGTGACGCGCCTGGCATTGTTCCGTGCCAATTAGCTTTTTGCGGGCGAAGCCCAGCCGTATCGACCGGTGGGAAGTCCTGGCGGGGCTCCATGGCTTCAGCGGGACCTTGACCCGGAACGCATTCGCCCAGTAAACGGCAGCTGCCCTCCAGCGGCGAGAAGGCGTCCTCGGACGGCTAACAGTCGCCAAACTGACACCATGCGATGAGACAGCTGGGACGGACGTCGGCTCAGCGGGGGTGAGATCAAGTACAATGACATCAAGCTGAAACGACCCAGACAGCGGCCGTAGTGGTAACCAAGGCGACCCAAACCATGCCGGTCGTCCTGCAAGCTTTTTAGCCGGACAAAACAGGATTTGGATGCGTCCATCTGTGACGATCTAGTGGGGCGGGTAGTAGGGCGGACTTCGGTATTGATTCAGCAACCAGGATAGAGGGGACAAGAACGATCCGGACCGGTTTCATGTGATTGGCCTGCGAACGCTCTGCTACGTGAGGCGCCGAGGTTGGAAGGTGTAGCTTGTCGTTGCAACTTGTTGAATGGCTATATATATATATATATATATATATATATATATATATATATATATATATATATACATATATACATATATATACATATATATATATATATATATATATATATATATATATATACACCCCCACTCGCACCCCCCAAATGTAATCGCACTGGAGCCAAGCGAAAAAAGAATCCAAGTTTCCACTTGGTCGCCGTTGACACGGCAGCAAACTAACACAGGGCGGCGGCAGGCCTGTGCTGGGTTACGTCACGCTTTTGCGCTCATCTTTTTAGTTGCTTCCAGGTATGCACAGAGCCGAAGAACTCATTCAGGTCTCTAGGGAGCCCTTTTAAAACCCGAGGCAAACAGCTCCTTTGAGTTGTAAGCTTACTCCACGCTTGGCGGCGTCACATTTCACCTTTTTCGCATCCGCCAACGTTCTCGAACCTCCAGTTTTGTTTTCGTTGGAGCCGTGTCAACAGGCCATGTATGGGCCCCCGTCTCCCCGTCTTCCCATACGCTGTCTGCCCGGCACGTCGGTGCCCGGCACGTCTACCCGGCACGCCGTCTTATCCCATTGCTCCAGTGTCGCCGTCCGCTCTCCTTGCGTTTACCTCGTCCGATCGTCCCTGGCGTGACCTCGCCGCCCCCGCCCGGCCATGACCGGCTCCGGCGCGGTCCCGCTCTGACCTCGCCGCCCCGCCCGGCCCTGACCGGCTCCGGTGCGGTCCCGCTCTGACCCGCGCCCCCGCCCGGCCCTGACCGCTCCGGCGCGGTCCCCGCTGCTGACCTCGCCGTCCCCTCCCGGTCCCTGACCGGCTCCGAGCGCGGTCCCCGCTCTGACCGCGCCGCCCTCCGCCAGCTGTTCGCCCGCGTGCCGGCGGTGGCCGACCTGAAGCCGCTCCCGCCGCCGCCCGGCGAGCACCAGAAGAAGTACGTGGGCGGCGAGACGCGCGCCCTGCAGCTGCTGGGCGAGCGCATCGCCTACGAGGAGGCCGCTCTCAGCCGCGGCATCGTTATGCCCAACCAGTACAGCCCGGACCTGCTGGGGCCGCCGCGCAGCCTGTCCGCCTACCTGCGCCACGGCTGTCTGTCGGTGCGCAGGTGAGCGCCGGCGGCAGGTCGAGCGCCGCGCACAGTGCCGTGCGCAGGATCTTGTACTGTGTAGGCGACGCGCAGTACCGTGCGTTGAAACCCGCATAGTACGGTGCGCAGTAGGCATTATCGCGTGCCGTGCCGTACACAGCACCGGGAGCAGAACCATCCACTGGCGTGTGTGCACCAAACGAGGCCCGCCGCAGCGTTCCACACGGTACACAACGTCCTACGCAGTGCACAGCATCCTACGCATTGCACAGCATCCTACGCAGTGCACAGCATCATACACAGTAAACAGCATCCTACGCAGCACCTTAGGTAGAATCCTTACGAAGTATCTAGCACGGCACGCTGCAGGGGATCCATGTCTGCCTCATCATCCCCGTTGGTGAGATACAGGTATGCGGTGCGTACTGCGGATCAGCCGCTGCCGCCGTGTGGACTCGGTGCGGTGCCATGTGGGATCGGTGTGGTACCGTGTGGGTCGGTGTGGTGCTGTGTTGACTCAGTGTGGTACCGTGTTGACTTGGTGTGATGCTGTGTTGACTCGGTGTGGTGCCATCTGGGCTCGGTGTGGTGCCGTGTGGACTCGTTGTGGTGCCATGTGGGCTCGGTGTGGTGCCGTGTGGGCTCGGTTTGGCGCCATGTGGACTCGGTGTGGTACCGTGTTGATACGGTGTAATGCTGTGTTGACTCGGTGTGGTGCCATGCGGGCTCGGTGTGGTACCGTGTGGACTCGGTGTGGTACCATGTGGGCTCGGTGTGATGCCGTGTGGGCTCGGTGTGATGCTGTGTTGACTCGGTGTGGTGTCATGTGGGATCGGTGCGGTGCCGTGTGGACTCGGTATGGTACTATGTGGGCTCGGTGTGGTGCTGTGTTGACTCGATGTGGTGCCGTGTGGACTCGGTGTGGTGCCGTGTTGACTCGGTGTGGTGCCGTGTGGACTCGGCGTGATGCTGTGTTGACTCGGTGTGGTGCTGTGTTGACTCGGTGTGGTGCCGTGTGGGCTCGGTGTGGTACCATGTGGGCTCGGCGTGATGCTGTGTTGACTCGGTGTGGCGCCGCGTGGTCTCCATGTATACGGCGGTGTGACCTGTGCCCGTGCCGCCGGCAGGATGTACCACATGATCCAGAAGGTGTTCCAGTCCAGCACCAGCGCCCACAGCCACTCGCTGAGCATCTGCGTACAGCTTGTTTGGCGCGAATTCTTCTACACCATGTCGGTGCACAACCCGTACTTCGATCTGGTGAGCATGGGCTGCATGTGATCTCTGTTGAGAACCGCTGCCTGTCATGAATAGGTCAGTTCTATGTGATCTCTGTTGAGAACCGCTGCCTGTCATGAATAGGTTAGTTCTATGTGATCTCCGTTGAGAACCACTGCCTGTCATCACGTAGGTCAGCACGGGTTCTTCCTTATTTTCTTCATGCGGAGCTCCTATAGTGACCAGACCAGGTGAACACGAACTGTTCAGCTATGTCTGGTTGTTAGAATAGCAACATTTTGCATTGGGATGTTACAGTTTTATTTCAACTTGCATCTGGCTGAATAAAGTTTTTTCCTTACAGGGCCTTGGTTCATTCCACTATAATAAAAATGACAATCCACGCCTGTGCATTGTTTGTGGGACAGCTCTCACATAGAACGCTTTTTAGCACATTTTGTGCACTTGAATTTTGCTTTTACGCTGAATCCTCTAAAGGCGTGGTGCTCCCAACACGTCGGTCCACCTTTTTCTGATTTCCCTAAATACCACATTTCTGCTCCACTCTCCCTTCAAGCGAAAACAATTTAAATCGTTAATCGAATGGCACAGTGAGTAAAACAAAGTACATGGATACGGGGTAGTTCACCGATGCTCTTACTCTGTCTTGATGGTCGACAAATGCATTGCCGAACGGGTATATTAAGTCCCCGCTGTCACCCGATGTGAAGCACACATTCGCACATTTGCAATGAACACCATATATCCTTTTTTTGTTTTGCATCCAATCGTTCGGTCATGCGTACACGTTTCAGGTCCCTTTGCTGAATCATGGCCCTGATAAATCCCCAACAGATGGCGCAGTTTTTCCGCACTCCTGCCTGCCTCTCCTCCGACCTCGCATAACTTGTTTTTGTCCTCGCCTGAACCAACTGGTTATTCAGGCTTGTACCCTTTGGCAAGATCTCGGGTTGGCTTGGGTTTCCTTCCCTGAAGTGTTTGGAGTCTCCCAAACGTGTCTTGTGATATATATCTGTATATATATATATATATATATATATATATATATATATATATATATTTACATATGATGTGTGATTTATATCTATGTGATATTATATATATATATATATATATATATATATATATATATATATGTATAATTAAAGGCATGCACATACATATAGCCACACGCCCGCACTGGCGCCATCCAGACGGTGACGCCGTGTTTCGGCGCCCCTCGGCCGTGACGTCACCAGATGGAGCCGAACCCGGTGTGCCTCAACATCGGCTGGCGGACGGACGAGCGTCAGCTGGAGCTGTGGGCCCACGGCCAGACCGGCTACCCGTTCATCGACGCCGCCATGCGCCAGCTGCGGCAGGTGGGCCCCGGCGGGCGCCCGCGCTGCCAACGTCGTAGTTGCAAGCTTTGGAATTAGCACGGCCCCCTACAGACCATCCGACGTCAGTCCGGGTCCGGTCCGGAGCGGACCAGACCACAGATCACCGGCAGGCCAGAAAGCACACAGGTTTGCTCGACCATGCCCGGACGGCGTGCCCGCCAGCAAATACTGACGGCGCCAGCACCAGTGTGCGTCAGAGCCCACACAACCGCACTATCTAATTCTATATATATATATATATATATATATATATATATATATATATTCATATATAGGCAGGCAGGATAATATATTGGGATGTCGACATCTTGCCGGCCGCCGCCGCCGGCCGCCGCCCGGCCGGCGGCGGCACCGCGGTGGCCCCTCCTCACTATCCGCTGCGTGTGTGAAGTTACCCCCCCCCCCCCTCCTCACGCCCTCCGAAGCGTACGTTTGGCACCGCCCGAGCGCGGTTGTGCGGGCTCTGACGCACACTGGTGCTGGCGCCGTCAGTATTTGCAGGTCCTTGACGCTGCTCTGCCCCGATGGTTGGGAGCAAGCTCCATAGGCCGTTGCGTTGCTTTTGGAGCAGGCTCACATTACGCTGTGACCCGTCCCCAAACCGTGGCGTCCTCTGCCGCGGTGCTGATGCGTGGCCAGAGGCGCTACATACCGCCCGGGCGTGGCCAGTCTCGCAGCGCATGCGCTGGGTGGTGACCTGGCCCGGCTGGGCGGCTCCACCGCCGGCGGCGCCGCGCGCTGACCTCGTCATGCGCCGGCCGGCAGGAGGGCTGGATCCACCACGTGGCCCGGAACGCCACCAGCTGCTTCCTGACGCGCGGCGACCTCTGGATCAACTGGGAGCACGGACGGCAGGTCAGTCTGCTCGGGCGGGGGCTCCGACCGGCCGTGGTCAGCTGACCCGACGCGGACTGGTCTGGTATGGTCTGGCTGGTCTGATCTGGTCTGGTCCGGTCTGGCCTAGTCTAGTCTCGCCTGATCTAGTCTAGTCTAGTCTGACCTGGTCTGGTCTGGCCTGCCTGGCCTGGCCCAGCCCAGTCTGGTAGGGTCTGGTTTAGTCTGGCCTTGTCCGGTCCGGTTTGGTCGGGCAGACGGTCCGCCGGCGACCCTGTGTGGTCTCTGGCCCGCCAGTGATCCGTGGTCTGGTCTGCCTCGGACCGGACCGGACTGATCATCGGATGGTCTGTAGGGGGCCGCGCTAATTCCAAAGCTTGCAACTACGACGTCTGTGATGATGACGCCCAGATAGATCGTCGGTGACGCAGAAACGGGGAGACAAACCACGGTTTGTTTGGCTCTTCAGATGGTACTTCAGTATAGGGCCAGGCGTTGAGATCAGCTGACTGTTGTATCGTATAGTGTACCGAACTAGATTTGTTCTTTTTAGCATCGCACAGCCTTGTTTCAGATAGCGCAGCATTCTGAGTATAATATAATTTTCCGAGTTTATAAAAGGTTTCGAACACCAGATGTTCACTGAATGCCGCACATAAAAACATTGAATTGACCTTAACGGCGTGGTTTCGCTGAAAGGCAGGTTCATCTTGCTATCATCAGCAAATTGTTTGACCTTGCTGCAACGTGTGTGGAGGCACCAATCGTCCGCGCAGTATCGCAGGAACGAACTAGCCACATAGATCTGAATGTCTTGCCGGTCTTTTGACGAATGGAGACTGTATGGTTACGATCGAGGCCTTCGTTGTACATTGAAGTGAGGCTTCAGATAAAAATTCACAATATCTGCGCCCGTCACAGGGTGACGGAAGCTATCCAATCAAGCTCCACACCGAAATTATTGCATTTCCGTGACGATCACGGGTCACCGTCGGCGGCTCGGGGGGTGGCATGTATCCACCCATCCACGTCCGCAGTGATGATCACGGTGACACCGTCGGCGACTGGGGTGATGTGATACCACACCCTTGACGTCCCCAGTGATGATCACGTGACGTCGGCCGGCTCGGGGGGTGACATGATCCCACCCCTCCACGTCACCAGCTGTGATCACGTGACACCGTCGGCCGACTTTGTCCGGCTGACATGATCCACCCCTCCACGTCACCAGCTGTTATCCCGTGACACCGTCGGCGACTTTGCCGGCTGACGTGATCCACCCCTCCACGTCACCAGCTGTGATCACGTGACACCGTCGGCGACTTTGCCGGCTGACATGATCCACCCCTCCACGTCACCAGCGGTGATCACGTGACACCGTCGGCGACTTTGCCGGCTGACATGATCCACCCCTCCACGTCACCAGCTGTGATCACGTGACACCGTCGGCGACTTTAGGTGATGTGATCCACCCCTCCACGTCACCAGCTCTGATCATGTGACACCGCCGGCGACTTTGCCGGCTGACATGATCCACCCTTCCACGTCACCAGCTGTGATCCCGTGACACCGCCGGCGACTTTGCCGGCTGACATGATCCACCCCTCCACGTCACCAGTGTCCTGACGCGCTGTCGGCCCGCAGATGTTTGACGAGTACCTGCTGGACGCCGACTGGTCAGTGAACGCCGGCAACTGGATGTGGGTCTCCTCGTCGGCGTTCGAGAAGTTCCTCGACTCGTCCGACATCATCTCGCCGGTCAGCTACGGCCGCCTGTTCGAGCCCACCGGCGAGTACATCAGGTACGCGGCCCGACCGAGCGCGCCGCCTGCGGCGGTGGTGGTGTCTGCGCGCGCCCGCTGTACTGGTCAGGGCCGCGGCACGTCGCGACGGTGGCGGCGTGGTGGGCACGTGACCTGCGGTTACGGACGGGGCGCGGGTCCGTGGCCGCACCGTCACAGGTGGGGCGCCTCCAGGATTCAACAAGGCTCGCTTTCAGAACTCCATGGGACTCGCTTTCAGGCCTCAACAGAAACCGTCTTGGGGTGAACAAGACTGGCCTTCAGGAGAGCTCAACAGGACCCGCTCTGAGGGCCGTTCAGGGCCCGACACCGGCGGCCGGCGGAGTCCGTCCGGCCGCGGCGCCGGGTCCGCAGCTGACCGGCCGGCTCCGCCTGCAGGCGCTACGTGCCGGAGCTGCGCCGCATGCCCACACAGTACATCTTCTCGCCATGGGAGGCGCCACTGGAGGTGCAGCGCGAGGCCGGCTGTGTCGTCGGCGAGGACTACCCGTGCCGCATGGTGGACCACAAGGTGGCGTCGCGTCATAACCGCAAGGTGAGCCGACTGTGGCGGCGGTCGCTGTGGGCCGTGATTGGCTGTCTGTCGGCGGACGGGGTGACACCTGGCGGCGGTGTGACGGGTCGGACGGGTGGGCTGCGGTCCGCGGCGGGATGCCTGATCTGGGGTCCGGCGCCAGACAGAACGTGGGCGACTTCACTCGGGCTCGGACGAAAGCCACATGGACTGTCATCTGACGCGGCACGCTGGGAGCCAACCCAGCGCTGCTCAGGCCCGGCGCGCGGTCGATGCGGCTGGGCGGCGGTCGACCGCGTTGTTTCGCTCCAGCGCGACGGCGCGATTCTCGCCGCTGACACCCCACCCTCGCCCGCGCTAACGCCCCCGTCGTCCGGCAGAAAATGGCGAGCATCGCCAGGCGGCTGGGCGCCTGTCCGCCCCACTGCATGCCCAGCTGTAACGCCGAAGTCAAACACTTCTTCGGCTTACCCGGCGCCGACCTGGAGAGCGCTCTGGCGCAGCGCTAGCGGCCGCGCGGCGGCCGGCGGACGCAGCGGCTGGCCTTCACCGGCTACCCCGTCCGGAGGAGAGGCTGTCTTACAGGTTGTCATTGCTGGGCGTGCAGTCAGGGGCCAGTGCCCGCCTTGCTGATGAGGCCTTATGGCTCAGCAGGGACGGCGCGATAGTTTAGCTAGACGGCGTTGATGATGGTTCCCCACGTAGCTGTAGTGGGTTACGTGCAGTAGATAGACGCTGGTTCAGCGTGGGAACACGACGAGTAAGAAATAAGAACGCTAGGCTCTATATTCAAATATAAAGGCTAGGTAGGCTAGGGCAGGCTAGATGGTCTGTGCCATCGTACCATATGTTTACGAATTATGGGTACCCATTGGTCTCACATATAACGACGCTTATCCATGAGGTTGGTCTTCATTATATCAGAGTGTGCATACTTGTTGCCGTGCCGTCAACGTATTACGGTCGCGCTTAAAGCCCGGGACTCGGGGTGCAATGTCAGCGTGTCGGATGCGGTTTTCCGCTTTGAGTTGGAGTATTCTGACGCATTCCGGCTAGCATCAGCCGCCGGAGCGCGCCGGCACGGGCGGCCGTGCGATCCGACTGTTCCGCCGGAGAATCTCGCAGGCTCGCGGAAGCCTTCAGATGGTGGCGACCGCCCGGACGTGGGAGGGAGAGACGGTTGGGTCGCGCTCGAGGGAGGGCCCCGCTGGTTGTGAGTTGGCGTCGGTGCGGTGCGGGCTGCGGGGCAAGATAAGTTGCACGCCATTTATGTCGCCTCGTTTGGTGGATTAGCTGGGCGGTGTTATCCGTTGTGTTAGCGATGTGTTTAAAGGGAATGGCTTACCTTTGCATGGGGTTGTGAACTAAAATAGTCAGATTATAGCGAGCAAAGAATATGCTTAACTATAATCCGGGTGGGGCGAAGAACGCCACATGTGACCTCAAATCCAACTTACATTTTGTAAGTTTTAATAGTTTTCAACCATTTCATACCGGGCTGTAGACAGAGATGTGACAAGATCGGAAATGACATTGTCAACGGTCTGATTTTCAACCTCTGCTACCGGCGGTGATTGGCTGAATGTAACGCCCCTGCGCAGTGACGCAATATGGCCGACTGGCTTCTGGACACATTTCGCACTTCAAGAACTTTTCGACAGCAAGAGGTGACCATATTTAATGGATGCTTTCCGACCATGCTTTGTCCTCCGAAGGCGCAGTGGTGAGCCGTTTGTGTCAAGGCCGCAAATGCGCCATAGGCCCGCGAGCTGGTCGTCTTGTCGTTGTCTGCATGTCGTGTTTCGTGTCGTGCAATGTTCTGCTGAGTCCCGGCTGCATGCTGCCGTGCAACGCGCCGTACCCTCACTTGATTGGTTCCTAAGCCGGCGCCGCGACCACGATTGCCGTGTCGCGGCGTCTGATGCTGTTCAGCGCCGGGTCTGCCCAGTCCGCGAGCAGGGGGATGGTCTGCTACTTAGTGTCAAAGGTCGCGGCAGCGGAAGTGTCATCTCCCTGTCCGTTGTCCCGGGCTGGGGCAGCGCCAGGTTGTCACGTTCTCCCCCTGCCGACAGGGGTGAGTTGCCTGCCGTGGTGACTCGGTCCGTGATGTAGTCAGTGTCGTCACTAGGTACAACGAGGTCCTCGGGAACAGGCGCGCGCAAGTCACGGAGTGCGTAAGCTTCGACCCGAGTCGTGAGTGCCTCAAACTGGAATGAACGCAAAAGTTTCAGGCCACGAGACTCTTACGCGTCACTCCCAGTTTGAGAGCCGCACTGATCGCGCCGAAATGCGGGCGACACCCGACTCGCGCCCCGTTGGATTCCCTCAAGCCTAATACCTGCTGTAGCGGGTTGCTTTACTTGTGAACCGAGGTCTGATGTCTTCATGGTGTCCTTTCTCCGACCTCATTTACGCGCAGATATTGGTTTTGCGAGCGGCCGGTGGCTGATTTTGTGGCTTCCGTTATGGCAACCAGGTGCAGCAGAGATGTCGGACGTTTTGTTCGTTGCGCACCCGGGCTGAATGGCCGTGAGGCAAAGTGGACTGTGCGATACTTGGGCATCTTCCGGAGAAACATTCCTAGTCACGCCCCGCGGATAGTTTGGACATAGGAGCTATGAATCAATATTTTGTCATACACTCAGGAAGGAACGATAGTTGTTCATCGTGTACCTGTCATATCTGGGAAATATACGACGAGACGTGAGCTGGGCGTGTTTGCGTGCGCCGCCGCAGGCGGACAAGGCACCGCCCTACCGTGGGACGTCGGTCCTGAGCGGCGGCAGGGCCGCGACGGAGGGGCGGTCGCGGCAGCAACCAGCCAGCCGCAGCCGTGGGCCAGTCCAATCTCAGCACATGGGTTCACCCGAGCTTCGATGAAATCGCCTGTGCGCTGATTGCATCGTTGCTGACCGGCTCACAAAACTCGTCCCGTCCCACCGCACGCTGCTCCTCAGCACCTGCGGTCCACCATGGCCGCGGTCGTTGAATGCGCCCGCTCTGCGCTCGCTTGCTGCCGCTGCCGTCGCCAAGATCTGAACTCAGCTAGCGGGTCGTCCGCTAACCGTGTGTGCTCGCGTTGGCACAGTTTTTTTAAGCACTGTACATTTCGCGCACATTTATACATGCGCCATGCCTTGACGTACCCGGCATGTTGCCAAAACACATGGCCGGGGATGCACTTCAGACATGACTGGCATTTGGGCCCAGCGCGCAGCCTGGCTACGTTACCATCACCGAACCGGTCGGCACTGGTTTGTGAGGTCGCCCATCTCGCCAGGCGGCTCTCCCCTGGTCCGACGCGTCATCAAACGCACGCCGGCGCCACTACGGTCTGGACGCTGACTGTCACTAGTCTGGACGCTGACTGTCACTAGTCTGGACGCTGACTGCCACTAGTCTGGACGCTGGTTGTCACCAGTCAGGACGCTGACTGTCACTAGTCTGGACGCTGACTGTCACTAGTCTGGACGCCGCGGGGCCGGAGCGCTGGACGCCACTGAACAAGGCGGGACGCCTTGTTTGACGTACTGATCGCAGTATATGGAACAACCTAGGTGAATAAACCCGCTGGATACTGGGTTTATGGTATAAGTTTCACTGGCGGCAGGCGGTCACTGAAGTCATTGTGTGGGCGTTTATAGCCGACGCGGTTTTCAACGGCCGCAAAATAATTTCCTTCGCTGTGCATACGATACAAAGGATTCAATAGTAAAATTGCTGGTTCCGAATGTATGAATCATGTAATGCCCTAGCTTCGTTCAACACCACACATAACTACCCGAACACGACAAGGTGACCCCATGACTTACGTCTCTATCTTCAACTATCTGTTCCGTCTCTACCTCTCAACCCCACCTAGTCCGTGACGCAGTAAGCAGACCGCGCTGAAGACTCGGTGCTGCTTGAGACCCTGCAGCACGAGCAGAGAGCACTGTCGACAGATGGCCTTAGGGTTCTGGGCGCCGCCCAGGGGAGATCACGTTTTCACCTCGCCGAAGATCACGTCATCGCCTCGCAGATCACGTCATCGCCTCGCAGAAGGTCACGTCATCGCCTCGCAGGTCACGTCATCGCCTCGCCAAAGACCACGTCATCGCCTAACAGATCACGTCATCGCCTCGCAGGAGATTAAGTTACCACCTCGCAGGAGATCACGTCATCGCCTCGCAGGGGATTAAGTCATCACCTCGCAGGAGATCACGTCATCGCCTCGCAGATCACGTCATCGCCTCGCAGGTCACGTCATCACCTCGCAGATCACGGCATCGCCTCAGCGGCTCTGGGCTCACGAGCGGCGCCATCACCGGGTCTACTGAGGCGGCAGAGGGCGGCGCGCAGAGCCTGTCTGGACGGTGGCCGAAGCTCCGTAAGGTCACATCTGCTGTCTCCGAACACGAACCGCTCCACACGTGCTGTGAACCACTGCCTGGGTACTGCTGGCGGGCGTGGTGGGGGGGGGGGGGGGGGGGCTTGGCGGACTGCATGACCGACTACTGCCAACTGGAGCGGGTGACGGCCGAGGGTCGGAGGCGGTGACCGATGTGGAGTCGTTACGACGTTCTGGCGACCTGGGTCCGCTGCACTGCCAGTGCCGCGTCAACGGCCAGATGACCTGCATCGGAGCCGTGACCTTGTGACCTGACCCGGGTCAGCGGCCGCCGTCGGCCCGGGGGTCGAGCTGGCGCAGCAGCCGGTCGCAGCGGGTCGGACTGCGCTGGCGGTCTCGCTCCACGCTGGCCTGCTCGCACACGACGGCCGTGTTCAGATGGCCGGCCGCCAGCAGCGCCTCTGACGGACACACGCACAAGCGGTCAGACCGGAGGCCGTGACGGCGGAGCGGCTCCCCGGGTTCGGAGTCCGCTCAGTCCGCTCCAACGCGCTGGCCGTACCGCGGACACCTCCCCGCGTTACCAACGGGACACGCACGCAGTCCGCAGCGGCCGGCTCACTGCCAGGCATACGGTGTGAACCTCCCGCAGGCCTTCAACACAGGCACACACACGGACAGAGACAAGATATGTCCCAGCTTGCCACCAGCTCTCGTCCAGACCCGAGACTGGCCAGCGCCAGCGCCAGCCCCGCCGCCCGCCTGCGCCGCGCCCCAGCCTCGGCCGCGCTCCGGGGCGAGGCGCGGTCCACTCACCGTACACCCGCTCCTGCAGCGCCTCGTCCGTGTCGTCCAGGAACACCAGCAGCGTCCTGGCGAAGTGCTCGACGTGGCCGCGCCACTGCTCGCCGCTGTAGTCGGGCCCCAGCGCCGACACCAGCGCCGGGAACGTCGCGGCGGCCGTCTGGCGCACCTCGGCGTCGGTGTCGTCCAGTCGCTTCAGCAGCTCTGCGGTCACGCTGGTGACGTCACCTCCAAGTCACACCGGTGACGTCACTCGAGAGGTGTGACGTCACTCCGGAGGCGGGCACCCGCGCAGGGCGTCAGCGGGTGCTGAGCGGCAGGGAGCGCGCCGACGGTGGGACGCCACAGTGCGGTGAGCTCTGCAGCCAACAGTGGCTGCGCCGCACACCGCCAGAGGCCGGCACCGGCGGCGGCGGCTACCGTCTGTCACCAGTACTAGCCATGATATTCAGGTATGCTAAAAGACGTAAGAGTTGTCACATTTAAAACACAAGTGATGTGGCGGGTTGAAATAATATCAAATTTAAAGTATTTCCATGTACTGAGGCATTCAGTTTGTTAAGTAATACTATCGTAAAAATCAGCCTTACAAACGTTTTCGTCATTATTTCACACATTTGAAATCACCTAAAACTCGGGCATTGCAATATGTTGAAGGAAAACATTTTACTTCTCTTTAATTCAATTGTTCACCAAACATCACAGCAGGATATCGTTAGAAGCCCATGTTCTGCTACCACACCACCACCTATCGTCAATGTGACCCGGCGTACCGACCCCAGGCCCACGACCTCGGCGGGGAGAGCGGGAGAGCCGGCCGGCCGCGCGTACCTGTGACGCTGGTGTGCACCAGCTGCACGGGCAGCGTGCCGGGCTCCGGCAGATGGGACAGCGCTGACAGGCAGCGCAGAGCCAGCAGACGGGTCCGTCGGTCCTCCTCCTCCAGCAGACCTGGCGGAGAGAGACCAAGGGAGACGGTCAGGAGCGAGACCTGAGTAAGAGGCGGTCAGCAGCACACCTGGCGGCGGCAGACCGGGGGAGATGGTCAGGAGCGAGACCAGAGCGAGAGGCGGTCAGGAGCGAGACCAGAGCGAGAGGCGGTCAGGAGCGAGACCAGAGCAAGAGGCGGTCAGGAGTACACCTGGCGGCGGCAGACCGGGGAGACGGTCAGGAGCGAGACCAGAGCAAGAGGCGGTCAGGAGAACACCCGGCAGCGGCAGACCGAGGGAGAGGTCAGGAGCGAGACCAGAGCAAGAGGCGGTCAGGAGAACACCTGGCGGCGGCAGACCGGGGGAGACGGTCAGGAGCGAGACCAGAGCAAGAGGCGGTCAGGAGAACACCTGGCGGTGGCAGACCGAGGGAGAGGTCAGGAGCGAGACCAGAGCAAGAGGCGGTCAGGAGAACACCTGGCGGTGGCAGACCGAGGGAGACGGTCAGGAGCGAGACCAGAGCGAGAGGCGGTCAGGAGAACACCTGGCGGCGGCAGACCGGGGGAGACGGTCAGGAGCGAGACCAGAGCAAGAGGCGGTCAGGAGAACACCTGGCGGTGGCAGACCGAGGGAGAGGTCAGGAGCGAGACCAGAGCAAGAGGCGGTCAGGAGAACACCTGGCGGTGGCAGACCGAGGGAGACGGTCAGGAGCGAGACCAGAGCGAGAGGCGGTCAGGAGAACACCTGGCGGCGGCAGACCGGGGGAGACGGTCAGGAGCGAGACCAGAGCAAGAGGCGGTCAGGAGAACACCTGGCGGTGGCAGACCGAGGGAGAGGTCAGGAGCGAGACCAGAGCAAGAGGCGGTCAGGAGAACACCTGGCGGTGGCAGACCGAGGGAGACGGTCAGGAGCGAGACCAGAGCGAGAGGCGGTCAGGAGAACACCTGGCGGCGGCAGACCGAGGGAGACGGTCAGGAGCGAGACCAGAGCGAGAGTCAGGTTTGGAGAGGCGGTCAGCGGCAGACTTGACGGATTAAAGACGGTCAGGAGCGAGACCTGAGTAAGAGGCAGGAGTGGAGAAACGACCAGGAGCACACCTGGCGGCACAAGACGGAGGAAGATGTCTGGAGCGAGACTTGGGGCAGCCAGGAACAGACTGAGCTGAATGAACAGCAAATAGACGAAGTGTGCGCTACCGAAAAAAAAACAGTTGAACTGCCAGCGAAGACAAAAAGCCGACCAAACATAGCAAATAGTAAAATATGACGTGGAAACCAGGGATAACTTACAAAAAACTAAGGTCGCCACGGAGACGCCTACGAAAAGGCACAAAACAATGAATGTCGGAAGCAGCAAAACGTACAATGGAACAGTTCTTCGAAAACATCTATTCAGAATGGTTTGCAGGAATATCTGTGGACTCACGATACTGACTAAGGAGACCTAGAGAGCTATGAAGCTCGGATGTACCATACTGTGCTGTTGCGCTGTGACCTAAGATGCTAGCTCACCAGGGAAGTTGTCTTTTGGCCCTCACAGTCAGACGGCATTGCGGGAGTGTTTACTTTGCGCCGTAACTTGTCACGGCGCAGCCGCTGCGAGCCGGCTGGCCATCTTTTGTCAGTTATCAGCTGACCTTTCCATGCCCGTCGGCGCACATCATGCTGCTGCTCTGCGAGCCGTACCCAATGTTCCAGGGCGTCCCGCACCCAATGTCCCAAAGTTCTGCAGCTGATGGGCATGTTCGCAGTTATGTGAGCCAATCCTACCCCATATGCCCGTAATGTCCACATACCTGTAACCAAGGTGACAAGTTTCTCCAGATCTCCGGTGATGACACTAGCGGTGATCTCCGGTACTTTGAGTTCCGTGTGTAGGCACGAGATGGCAGCAGTGCGGATGGCCGCGTCAGATCGGCCCGGGTGCCAGACAATGCTGGGCATAACGATGTCTGAAATACAGAGTGCGGTTCCTTATCACTTAAATAAAATCATCAGAATCACCTCAGCCACCTCCGTACGGTTCAACCACACATCAGTGCGCAAGTAGTCTGGAGCATTCTGGTCATAATGGCCTTTGCACCAGCAAGTACATTTGTACAATATAGCACACTCGCAACATCCTAACCAGGCAACATCAACGTCATCCTATCCTAGCGCAACACTCCTCTCTCCTACTCCTCTCTCCTACCCCTCCCAACACTTCCACTCCCTGCTGCTGCTTCGGAGGGGCGAGCGACACTCCTACCTACATAATCTGCACCTTCGCAGCTCGACCAGCAACTCACCAAACCACCGCTATCACAAGCCCTGTGGAGCCAGTCCAACCAGTGACCCCGACCGCCGCGGACACGAGGCGGTCACAGCCTGTGGGGTGCCCTCACCTTGGGCCCCACCCCCACCTCGGTCGGCCCCTACCTTCGGTGATGACGCCCTCGTCCTCGGCCCCACCCCGCCTCCGTCTGCCCTTACCTTCGATGATGACGTCCTCGGCCCCACCCCAGCCTCCGTCGGCCCTTACCTTCGATGATGACGCCCCCGTCCTCGGCCCCACCCCGCCTCGGTAGGCCCCTACCTTCGGTGATGACGCCCCCGTCCTCGGCCCCAACCCGCCTCCGTCGGCCCCTACCTTCAGTGATGACGCCCCCGTCCTCGGTCCCACCCCGCCTCCGTCGGCCCCTACCTTCGGTGATGACGCCCCCGTCCTCGGCCCCACCCCGCATCCGTCGGCCCTTACCTTCGGTGATGACGCCCCCGTCCTCGGCCCCACCCAGCCTCCGTCGGCCCCTACCTTCGGTGATGGCGTCCCCGTCCTCGGTCCCACCCCGCCTCCGTCTGTCCTTACCTTCGGTGATGACGTCCTCGGCCCCACCCCAGCCTCCGTCGGCCCTTACCTTCGGTGATGACGCCCCGTCCTCGGCCCTACCCCCGCCTCCGTCGGCCCCTACCTTCGGTGACGCTGGCCAGCAGCGGCCGCACGGTGTCTGCCCCTGCGCCGCCCACCAGGCGACACAGCTGCGTCAGGCAGGTGAGCCGGAGCGGCGCCGGCCGGCCGGGCCGACAGCAGGCCGCCAGCACCGGCAGCGCCGGCCGCAGCAGCGTCGCCGCCACCGTCGCCGCGTCTGTCAGACAGCGCCGCACAGACCGGCGTCAGGACCGAACGGGGCGGAACGATGCACATTGGTGTCAGGTCAGATCAGGTCATGTCAGGTCAGGTTAGGGCAGGACAGGACAGGTCAGGTCAGGTCGGGTCAGGTCCGATCCGGTCAGCTGGGAACTCTGTGCAGCAACGGAACAAAGCAACCCGTAATTTGAGAAAAGCGTCTCCAAATCTCGATTGCCATGAATCCAAACGCTCCGCGAGGGAATCGGTGACTTTCACCAGCGCCCGGACTTTGGCCTGTCACGGAAGCGGCGGAGCTAGATCAGGACCACAGCGTCAGTGCGCCGCGGCAGGCGCGCAGCCTGACGGCACGTCACGGAGACAGCTGTGGCAAAACACGCGCACGCGGCAGCGCGGACCACGTCAGGGCGGCCGCCTGGCTGATGTCTGTGAGCATCGGGCGGCCCCAGCCAGCGTGACGAGTAAGCCCCGGACTGCTGGAGACACTGCTGGGCTCGGGCGTGCCGCTGGCCGCCACTGACCGCTGGTTTTGAGGAGCGCCACGACGGTCAGCAGCTCGGAGCTGGCCGGGCCCCAGAGCTCGACGTCGGCCGACAGCCGCTCCAGCAGCGGCGGGCCCAGCTCGGTCAGCAGGTCGGTCATCGAGCCGCTGGTCGCCGCCAGCTGCTCCACCAGGTCTGCGGACGGGGCGCCGCGTTATGGAGCGGAGTTCTGAGAGCTGAATACGAGCGCGGCAACGGCAAGCACATTTTCCAACTGCAGGTGCACCACCTGCCTCAAAGGAAAAATTCCAAACACCAGCCAAAAATGAAGCAAGTCGTTAAAAATCTGCAGCGGTACCCATATTGGGTGCAACGAGCTGAAAATTGACGCCATTCTTATTCTTGACCCACCGATCTCCGTGTGAGATTTCGATGTCGCCGCAATCAGTCATACAACGCTAATCACCCGGAAGATTTCAAGCCCACACGTCAGCCACACAAAGACCCTACCTTCAGGTCCAGCTCTCGCCACTTCAGGTCCAGCTCCCGCCCATTCGGGTCCAGCTCCCGCCCATTCAGGCCCAGCTCCCACCCATTCGGGTCCAGCTCCCGCCCCTTTAGGTCCAGCTCCCGCCCATTCATGTCCAGCTCCCGCCCCTTCGGGTCCAGTTCCCGCCGCCGGGCGGGACTGGCCCGCCCCGGGTCGGCTCACGTACGGAGCGCCCTCTGCGCCAGCTCCTCGGAGGCGGCATGTCCAGCCACGGCCACCAGAGCGCCGAACAGGGGCGCCACGGCCGGCCCAGGCAGCTCCGAGGCGCTGGTCAGCAGGGCGGCCGCCGCCTCCAGCAGGCCGACTTGGCGCACAGGCTGCCGGTCGACGGGGGACGACGGCAAGGTGAAGACAGAGGGCGGGGGGGGGGGGAAGGAAGGCGGGGGGGACGAGTGCCGACCGCGCACGGACTTGCGACAGTCTGCCTTGTTACAGAACGCAGGACATCACGAGCAGCGAGCATCCGTCACACCGCGTTCTCCCGTCAGGCAGGCATGCAACGAGCCTGCTACAGATTGTGTTTCGAAGGGGATAGCGTGGGTCCAGCCGCCTCACAGTGTATATAGTTCACACGAACGCCTGCGCGTACAGTGGCCAAAGAGGGGCGTGTGCAACCGACGAAGGCGCAACGGCTGTCAGCAGTCCGAAACTCGCACGACCGTCACCAAAAAATGCCATCATAACGCAACATAAACAACCGAGTCCCCATTGCGAGAACACGGCACGCGCTTCTAACGCATTGTCCGGCCGCTGCACCAGCGCAGTGTGCGTGCGGCGCCTCCTTCGCGCCACGACTCAGTCCGGAGCGCTCAGCTGTCCGCCGCTGGGTCCGCCCGCCGCATCGGTCAGAGCCGCGGCCGCGCGGCGCCGGCGGACCCACCTCGTGCGAGTGGCAGACGTCGCCGGACGCGAGCACCTCGGCCACGGACTGCGCCACGTCGTGGGGCGACGGGCAGCCGCGCAGGACGGCGGCCAGCAGCAGCAGCTGGCGCCCCGTGGCGCCGCCTGGCGGGAGACGCCCGCGTCAGGGTGCAGCGCCGGCGGCAGTGCGGCGCATCGATAATGACCCGATGGCGGTTCTCCTTGTATGTTGTTTTATGCTGACGTTATCGTGCGATAAAAGTCCACCGGCACAATCACGTTATCTGAATGATCACTGGCGTATTCCCCGCCCCTTCCTTCCCCCCCCCCCCCCCCCCCTCCACGAAACATGGCGTTTGCCATCCATCTGGCGCCACGGGGCTTTGCAGCGAGCCCCGGTGGTGCCAACAGGCGCCTCGCAGGCCTGTGCCGGCGGGGACGGGCCGGGCGGCGTGGCACGCCTCTGCGACGGATTTTCACCGTCATCTCACCGTCGCCGGTGATGGGCTTGAGAGCCACCTCCATGAGCGTTGGAAAGGGCGCGAAGCACCCGAGCAGCTCCGCCGTCTGCGTCACCTGCGGGCACGCGGACAGCAAGGCTTCGTGTTAGCTGACAGCACTCCCGTGGCGCGTAACTAACAACCAATGTCTTCGCGGCGCGCCAGCACTGCTAGACCGGGGACACTGCGCTTACTGCGGGCCAGTGTCAAGTGATTCAAGCGGAGCTGAGTTTCGGGTGTTTTCGTGCCAGATTTTATGCCATGAGTCCTTAACATACCAGGAATGCCCTGCATAGGACTGAACGGAGCATTCGGCATGGCAAAGGGTACATCCGGAGTGCAGTCATGCTGAGAGCTTCTCCTCCGGGCGGGGGTCAGAGCTTCCCTTCCGGGCGGGGGTCAGAGCTTCCCTTCCGGGCGGGGGTCAGAGCTTCCCTTCCGGGCGGGGGTCAGAGCTTCCCTTCCGGGCGGGGGGTCAGGAGCCTTCCGGGGGGTCAGAGCTTCCCTTCCGGGGGGGGTCAGGCTACCCTTCGGGGGGGTCGGAGCTTCCCTTCGGGCGGGGGTCACGCGCTCCCTTTCCGGGGCGGGGGTCACGAGCTTCCCTTCAGGGCGGGGTCAGAGCTTCCTTCCGGGCGGGGGTCAGAGCTTCCCTTCCGGGCTGGGGTCAGAGCTTCCCTTCCGGGCGGGGGTCAGGAGCTTCCCTTCCGGCTAGGGGTTCAGAGCTTCCCTTCCGGGCGGTTTTGGGTCAAGAGCTTCCCTTCCGGGCGGGGGTCCACGAGCTTCCCTTCCGGGCGGGGGTCAGAGCTTCCCTTCCGGGCGGGGGTCACAGCTTCCCTTCCGGGCGGGGGTCAGAGCTTCCCTTCCGGACGGGGGTCAGAGCTTCCCTTCCGGACGGGGGTCTGAGCTTCCCTTCGGGGCGTGACAGGCGAAGGCACATCGACCTTCCGTGCGCGCCAGCGCCCTAAAAGGGACGCGGATCGGACCTTGTAGTCGAAGCGCCTTTAAGCCCGAATCATTAGTCAAGAAGAGCACGGCGGCGGCCGAGTCCGGAGTGCAACAACAGTTGGCACTCCACAGGCGTTGGTGCGCTCTCGCCAAGTCGTTCTGCGAATCAACCGCTGGCACTTTGTGTCACCAGAGGGAATACCCTGTGCGGCAGCCAGCCTGGGCTGCGACACGCCACGGACCGGGGACGGCGCGGGAACCCCGTGAGACGCGACGGGGCGGAGGCGACTCACCCATCTGACCACCTCGCGCTCGTCGTCGGCCAGCGCGGCCGTCAGCGCGGTCGCCAACCGCTGCAGGTACTGCGTCACGGCGTCCTCCTGGTGCAGCACCAGCGTGTAGAGCAGCTGCGCCACCTTCAGCCGTGTCTGCGCCACCCAGTCGGAGAGGTCGCCGGCCGCGCCCGGAAGCAGAGTGTAGAAGCAGCGCTGCGACAGCAGCCGGCAGCCCAGCGAAGGCCGCTCCACTGACGACGGGGGGGGGGGGGGGGGGGTTACGAAACGGCAGGGGGGACTGAACCGGCGTGGATATAAGAGCAGAGCCCGAACGGGGGGGGGGGGGGTTGCGAAACGGCAGGGGTGACTGAACCGGCGTGGATATGTGAGCAGAGCCCGAACGCAGCGTCGCGCACGGGCGGCCCGCGGGGACTGCAAACATAGAAAACACACAACGCAACACAAACGCATCCCTACAACACCATTTCACCGCTCGCACCAGCTCGTGCAACACAATTTCACCGCAAACTTTATGACCCACATCTTTCCACTTTGGGTCACGTCACAGCTGTGAGTACGACGGCCATCCCTCTGGCCGGCCGACGGACCGCACCAGCCTGGCGTGGCGTGCCTCACCGGCGTCGGGGTAGCCAGCCGACGGACCGCACCAGCCTGGCGCGGCGTCCCTCACCGGCGTCGGGGTAGCCGGCCAGGCGGACCGCACCAGCCTGGCGCGGCGTCCCTCACCGGTGTCGGGGTAGCCAGCCGGCGGCGGCGGAGGGTAGTTGATCAGCTGCCGGTGCTCCTCCTCGTTCTCGGTCAGGTACTGCTGGCCAGCGCGGCGCCACAGCTCGCTGGCTCGCTCTGAGACGGACGACACGCTGTCCCGCAGGCTGCGAAGGCGAGGGCGACACGGACCGTCAGGGGGAGTCACAGTGACGGGCGACGAAAGGGAGTCATAGCAACGGAGACAACGGGAGTCACAGCAGCGGAGACGGAGAGGAGTCACAACAACGGAGACGGAGGGGAGTCACAGCAGCGGAGACGGAGGGGAGTCACAGCAACAGAGACGTAGGGGAGTCACAGCAACGGAGACGTAGGGGAGTCACAGCAGTGGAGACGAAGGTGAGTCACAGCAACAGAGACGGAGGGGAGTCACAGCAACGGAGACGGAGGGGAGTCACAGCAACGGAGACGTAGGGGAGTCACAGCAGCGGTTTAAGCTGCAGCTGACGGTCTCAGGGGTGGGGACAAGCACCTGTCTCAAACAAAGCGGTTTTATTTGGGGAGCTCTAGTGGCGAGGAGAATGATAGTTACAGCCGACAAACAATAGCCACCTTGTGCGCAGATAAGTCACGATGCGGAAGATGAGATGCATAACCACAACGTTAAGTCAGAGCAAAGTTATGAAATGCAGGAGAAAAGCGAACAGAAGTATATGCCCCCGCCCCCCTCCCACCCAATTAATTCCCATAGGCTGCTATCACTTTAATCCTGGTCACCAATCACATTATTTGTTTTCTGATCTTGACTTAATCAGTTCTGTAGCCAATTGTTTATGCAGTGGCCTCATAAAACGAGTCGTTTAAAAACCCAAACGCGATCCGAGCGGAACATGTCCGTACGACCGACAGCTTCGACGCGCGCATCCTATGGCCTGGGCATTGTTTGCTGTTATCTGCCACTGCTCACAGCCATTTGCTTTTGTGCGCATTCACCGTTGCGAGGACGTGACCTAGTGAGGCGTACTCCAGCCCGGTGGCGACCTCGCAGCCGTACAAAGTGTATTAGCCAATTAGCGAACGTATTATGACGCTATCCATGAACATCGACACAACATTAGCCGCACCGCGTGCCTCGCGGCCTTCGCGAAACAATGGCGACGACGCTATCCTCTTCAGTTTGTCCGTGATCCCCGCCCAGCTGGCATCGCCGATACATCACGCTCCACGGAGCGGAGCCAGCTCGTTCCGAGCGGCATCGCAACTGAGTCCAATCGCCAATCACAGCGCGACGCTGCACCAGTCCACGCAGCCCGGCAAAAAGCAGGTTACATCAGGCGACGGTGCGGTCTGCCGCCGCCCGCTGCCGGCCCATCCTAGGCGGCCTTCAGGTTGACCTCATGGTCCTTGCCCATGTGCATGTGCACGTTGACCGAGAGGATGCCGTTGGCGAAGTGGACGTCGGCGCTGTCCACAGGGACGTCGTCTACGGTGACGGTGGCCGGCGCCGCGTCCACGCCGTGGAAAAGCAGCCGCTCCACCAGCGGTGTCTGCAACCATTGTGTCTGCGCCTTGTCCACCAGCATGGTGAGCTGGCCGCGGCGGAAGTGGAAGAAGCAGTGGTAGAACTTGCCGGCGGCCAGCGAGTCGCGCGTCTCGCCGTCGTCCCAGAAGAGCTCGCCGCGGGCGTCGCGGCCGAACACGGCCACGGTGAAGGCGCCGCGGCGGCTGGCGGCCGTGGTCGAGGCGTTCGGCTGCATCGGCAGCACGGCGCCGTCTCGCGCAAACACGGGGATCATGCTCGCCAGCGGCACGTCGTAGCCCACGACGGCCGTATCGTTGCCGGCGCGCGCGAGCGAGCCGTCGCGCAGGTCGAACCAGCCGCCGGGCGGGAAGGTCACCTCCACGTGCGTGATGTTCGCCTCGGTCAGCACGGGCGCCACCATGACGGCCCCGCCCCAGAGGAACTGCGTGTCCACGCCGCGAAGCTCCGGCCGCTTCGGAAACTGGAAAGCCAACGGCCGAACCACGGTCGCGCCGTAGGCGGCGGCGCGGAACATCAGCGTGTAGAGGTAGGGCAGCAGGCGGTAGCGCAGGCCGAGCGCGTCCCGCGACGCCGCCGCCACCGACGGCCAGGAGGCCGGGTCCTGGTCCACGCCGTTGTCCGTGTTGTGGTTGCGGCAGAACGGGTAGAACGCGCCCAGCTGCATCCAGCGCAGGCACAGCCGCTCGGTGGTGTTGCCGTTGAAGCCGCAGATGTCGGCGCCCACGTGCGGGATGCCGAACATGCTGAACTCGAGCAGGCCGACGATGGAGCGCTTGAGGTCCTTCCAGCGGGAGGTGTTGTCGCCCGTCCAGTGGGCGCCCCAGCGGCCAGCGCCGGGGAAGGTGGAGCGCCCCACCAGCAGGCCGCGGCGCCCGCTCAGCACGGCGTCCATGGCGACGCGCGTGGCGTGCGTCTCGCTCCAGCCGTACAGACTGTGCACGTCGTAGTGGCGCAGCTCCTGGACGGCGGGGGCGTCTCGGTCAGGTCGCGCGCCGATCGGCCGCCGCCGCCAGGACCGGACTCGGTGGGACCGGCGGCGCGGGCGCTTCGGCCGCGGAGCGGTGACGGACGACGGGAACACGTCGTTGCTGTGCTTGGTCGACATGCAGATGGTTTTGTCCGAGATGCGCTTGCTTTCGTTGCTCGGGTCGCGGTTGCCGTACATGGTGGGGTAGGGTGGGCTGTCGAGGCTGTTGTTCGGGCACTTCAGACTCCACGGCGGCAGGTTGCTCGGCCAGTTGAACGGCCTCTCCATGTTGGTGCCGAAGTTGGACGGCTCGTTCATGTCGATCCAGAAGCCGTCCGGCCGGCCGGCCAGCTCGGAGAAGCGCCGCATCTCGTCCGTCCACCACTCGACCGTCGCGCGCCGGAAGAAGTCCGGGAACAGCGTCTTGTTGCGCGGCCACACGTAGCCGACCACGTAGTCGCGGCAGCCGGCGCACTGGTCCGCCGGCACCAGGCTCGCGTCCGCCCACTTGACGAACGCGTCCCGCTGCACGCCGCGCTCCACCGGCGGGTACGTGCCGAAGTCGATGGCGATGGCCGGGTCGTAGATGAGCGTCACGCGCACGCCCTCTTTGTCGCGCAGCTCCTTCACCAGGCCGGCTAGGTCGCCGAAGCGCTCGGGCGCCACGGTGAAGTCGCGCCGCTGATCCATGTAGTCGATGTCCGAGTACTGCACGTCCTGCGGCACGCCGGCGGCGCGCGTGCGGTTGTGGATGGCGCGGATGTCGTCGGTGCTCTTGTAGCCGAAGCGCGACAGCTGGAAGCCGAGCCCCCAGTAGGGCGGCAGCACCGGCAGACCGATGGTGACGTGGTACTGACGCAACACCTCCAGCGGGCTCCAGCCGAAGAACAGGTACATGTCCAGGATGCCGCCCGTCGTGCGGAACGTCAGCGCCGCCGAGCCGTTCAGTCGGAACAGCTTGTACTCCATGGCGTTGCTGCTGAGGAAGAGCACGCCGAAGCTGCGCCCCGAGGCGTCCTCGATGGCCGTGAAGAACGGATGCGCGCCGTACAGGTTCTCCTTGCCGTCGCCCGGCGCGCGGTCCACGGCGAAGATCGGCCACGTGGTCGCCGCCTCCAGGTCGTGGCGGAAGCTGTCGTGGTTGTTCTCGCCGAAGCCGTACACGTCGTCGCCGGCCAGCAGGAAGGACGCCTCGATGAACTGATCGCTGTAGGTAAGCTGCGGCAGCATGCGCAGCGCGCCCCGCCGCCCGTGGAACACGTCCAGAGAGAAGGGGCCGCCCGGCTGGCGCGCCGGCACGTGCACCTTGTACTCGGGCCGGCGCGGAGCCGACAGCGAGTCGGGCAGGTTCATAGCTAGCGGCACCTCGTAACGTGGGGATTTGGCGTCGCGGAACTGAAACAGATCGGAGATATGTCACTGACGCGCCATACGCCTGACAACGACATAATGACACTAGCGTAATACTCCGTAGAGTCTTCAAAAGTGACAAAACAACAAATGAAACGATTGAGAAAATTTCGACATGAATGAGTCCAATAAAACACAAACGCCCACCCCATGTTCAACTACTGCATGTAGATATAAACTAAAATCGCACACCGAAATAAACACATCAGCAGTGAGATATCAACGCCTACAGCTGGGAAGCGACCAAAAAGACTGGCGCCAGTCCCCGGCATCCATTGCGCCTGGCCGATAGCGAGCAGCGCGCAGGCCCAGTGCAGGCGCCGCTGCGAAGCACCACTCACCGCCAGCCGCAGCCGCTGCCGGTCATACTTCGTCACCGTCAGCAGCAGCCGGTCCACGTCGCCCCCGAACATCGTCACATCGCTGCGGCGGCGCAGGTAAAAATGGCGCGAGCGGCCGCGGCCGCGCGGCGCGCGCTCCACCCGGTAGCCGACGCGGTCGGAGAGGCGGCAGCCGGCGGCGCCCGTCCAAACGCAGGCCGAGTAGCGGCCGCAGACGGCGGCGCTGGCCGAGCCGGCGCCCTCCGGCAGTGGGCACTCCAGCGCGGTGGGCGGCGCTGCCGCGACCGCCGCCAGCAGCGCGCACACCCGCAGCCACATGGCGCACGGGCCGGCCGGGGCACAGCGGGTCACCACGCGGACGAACGACGCCGGAGTGCGACGCGGGCGGCCTGCGCCGTACTGCAGCGCGCTAGCAGCGGCGACCGTCCTGCTCCTCCGCGCTGGACCGGCGACGGCGGCGCCAGACAGCCGACTGAGTCGCGCCGGCGTGGCAACAGCCAGCCTGGCCGAAACCGCAGCCGGGGCAGCGGCGGCCGGGCGGCGGCCGGCGATAGGCCGGCGCTGGAGCCGCCGATCAGGCGCCGGCCGGCGCCACACGAGACGCCGGGCCGCCGCGCGCCGCTGACTCACCGGCCAGCAAAACAGCCCGACTTCCCGTCACGAGGCTGCCGCCATCACGCGGAGGGGACGGGAGCGGGGCAGCGTCGCGGCGGAGACACCCGACACCGGGGTAAACAAAGGGGCGGGGGAAGGAGGGACAGCGGCGCCGGATTAGCCGCCCATCTGAGCAGCTGTGTCACGACGCGGCTGATTTAAACACGCCACGCGGTGTGTAACACGGAGCGAGAGCACACACCTTGGCAGCCTATGGTGCTGTGTGTGGGGGAAATTAACGACGTCAGTCCAAGCTGCGTGGCAGAACGTCGCCTTCATAAGTGGAGGACCGTTGTGATCGGAGGACAGCGCCTTCTCCACAGCGGCTTGGGTCTCGTCAAACCTTGACAGCAGGGTCACACCAACAGACATCACCCTTTCCTCCGTACTTATGGAAACAATGGTTGTTCAGCAACCTTAAGTGCATCAGCTACCATGAAGCATTTTACTTCATGCTGAAGCTTGGTGATCCTGAAAGCACAAGTGACATCTAGTCGTCAAATAAAGCACCCAACTCGCATTTTATGGGCGCAGAATGACCCGCGCATTCGGCGTGCCATACAGCACCAATAAACAACGAAAACTTTTCATCCGGTTTCCTAAAGGGGCATTAGGCCCCAGCCCGGGACCTCCGTGTCTGCCTGGACGCCTCATGGCGTAGTACTGAACTCACGAAGCAGGTATAGAGAGGTAAGTAACTACCGGGTAAGTACAGACAGGTGCCAACAAGACGCGGGCCAGACATGCAACAGCTGAGTCGGATGGGAAACACGCCTCGAACAGGAGCTCAATTACCTAGCATGCATCAGGTGGATTCGTAAGCAAACAGAAGCAGCTGACAACACTCAGAGATCCAACGGAAGTATGGAATGGCGAGAATATCCTGGTAATTTGCCGGTACGGGGTCGTCTGGACCTTACCACCGGTCCGCGAGCCCAGCCCCAGGCTTGTCCACAGCCAGCGCCTCAATGGCGTGTTGTCTTCCGATAATGAGCGGGAGAAGAGCGCGCTTTATTGAGGCGAAGTGACATGTTGAGGACTCGTCTTTTCAGCAGCTTTTGTGTCATGCCTACGAATTGATGACGTTCGAACGGAAAGGGTCACGGTCGGAACCATTGCCCTCACCTGACATTTATAGCACGTGAATTACGACACCTAGTTGTAAGCTATTCGCATGCAATGGATTAATGTATTTGTGTCATACATATATAATTGATAATATACTTCTAAGCATACAAAGTCAGAGTGGTATAGGGCTGAAAAGCCCCCTCTCCCCCCCCCCCCCCCCCCCCCACTAAGCGCCCGTTAGAAACCCTTTGTATCGTGGGACAAGTGCTGCCACATCAGACGCGACCATTCTCACTACACGGATGTTCATTCGACGTATGGGAACGTGTCGGGTTGTCCTTACGGCATGAGTGTATCAGGGTGAGCGCTGACAAGCACTGAGCACTGACCAGCACTGGCGTCCGAGTGGCTAGAATTCGTGGCAGGAAGACTGGCCCACTTGGGCCCACGAACGCCCGGCAATTATAATCGACCAGGCGAATTCACTTGAAATAGTTCACGTGTTTGGTAATCATGAGGAACCTGTTGGTGAAAGACAATATGAGTTTTTGGTGATGTTGGTTACACTAAACTTGCCTACGTGCCTTCACACTCTGCACTGCCCGGCTCTGAATGTGTACTGCGTGGCAGTATGCAGGTATTGTGGTACACTCCTGCCAGCACGCCCGTCGGTCTTCCTCCTCCGTCGACACGAGTTTGTCTCGTGTCAGCTGCATGTCATTGCCACCGCCGTAGCCGAAATCTGCGCCCGTTTCCGGGCAGGTTCTTCTGCCTTCTCACCGCTTCGGAGCGCTACATTTTTATGCCATTCGGACGAGGTGGCGAAATAGTGGAGGCGTTGCTACGTAACGGCCACACCTCTGGCCAAATACTCTGTGCTGCGCGCCTCGGAGACATTCCGTAGCAAGTAAGAAAGATCGGTGGCGATTTTCACTGAACAGTTCACGACAGCGCGATCAGAGACTGACTGATTTGCGTCCAGAATCGGCCAACCTGCAGCCTCACTCGTCATAATCGATCAAGACCTGCAGGACACATTGCACCGACAATTGCCACACGAGGACATGAAGAGCAGCGGCAGCACCACACAAGAACGTGGGCGGATCTGCGTCAACGTAGCCGCCTTCCTCGCGATGGGCTTTATGCTGTTTTTATGTAAGATTCTTAGTCATTTTCATGCGCTGTCAGCGCCCGCTTGCTTTGACATCCGCCAACGTGGGCCTTGCTCTCATAGGTCCAAATAATGAATATTCCATGCATCAAATCCATTTACGAACGATATTATTCGAAGGGTGCACTTTCGGTAAAAACATGCAAAGCAACGCGCGGAGCATGCTTTAACCGGTTGCACAACACTCCCTAACTTCCAATCCTCACCGAAGCCTTGCGAGAAAGACGCTGGGCCCGTAACCTCGCGGTGCCGTGTGCGAGTTCCAGAACATGCGTGTTATTTGGCCTGCCGCACCTAAACGATAAACTGACAACTGACCAAAGAGCGCTACCCTGTCACGGGACGGCCGTGTCAAATCACATAATGTCCTCAACGAAAACTGGAGAGACCTTACAGTAACGCAATACGTCACGTCCATAGCCGCACCACCATCCCAGCTCCGCCTACCGTGCTTCAACGGCACCCCAACGTCACAGACCCCGCCCCACCCACCTGGTGAGCAGCAGCGGCAGGATCTTGGCGAAGAACGAGTAGCGGTCGGGCAGCTCCAGCAGCCAGCGGCCGGCCACCTCGGTCACGGCTAGCCGCACCTGGCGAGGCGGCCGGGGCGGAGGTCAGCATAGCGAGGCGGCCGGCGCGGAGGTCAGCATGGCGAGGCGGCCGGGGCAGAGGTCAGCATAGCGAGGCGACCGGCACGGAGGTCAGCATAGCGAGGCGGCCGGGGCAGAGGTCAGCATAGCGAGGCGGACGGGGCAGAGGTCAGCACGGCGAGGCGGCCGGTACGGAGGTCAGCACAGCGAGGCGGCCGGGGCAGAGGTCAGCATAGCGAGGCGGCCGGCACGGAGGTCAGCACAGCGAGGCGGCCGGGGCAGAGGTCAGCATAGCGAGGCGGCCGGGGTGGAGGTCAGCACAGCGAGGCGGCCGGGGCAGAGGTCAGCATAGCGAGGCGGCCGGGGCGGAGGTCAGCATAGCGAGGCGGCCGGGGCAGAGGTCAGCATAGCGAGGCGGCCGGGGCAGAGGTCAGCACGGCGCCACGCCTCACGCTGACAACGCCGCCTAAGCGTGGGACGCCGCTCGGGGGAGAGAGGGGGCAGGGGCAAGGGCGGGGGCGGCTGCCGCCACCGCCGGCCGGCCGGTCGGAACCTAGTCACACCACCCACCTGCGCCACCTGGTCGAACATGCGCTGCGCCAGGTGCGATACGACGTCCCGGAGCGTCGCGTTATCGCCGTACTGCACCACGTCCCCTGCCGGGCGGGCGGCGTCACCACGACAGGCGCGCAGCGTCCCGCCAAGCACCGGCACGGACAGGCGCCTACTAGTATACAGACTAAAGACTGCGATTCGCACAGCCCTGACGTCATCCAAGCTTCGGAGCCCACGACCCAATGAAACGGCGCGAATATCTTGTGTTTGGATAGACGGTGTTTTTACCCATCGTAAATTACCATTTTGTTTTTGGAGGCATCCGGCCAGTATACAACATCGGAGCTGGGGGAGGGAAGGGGGAAAGGCTGATATCTTCGTAATCCAATCACCGATATGCATTCTTTCTTATGTCACTAGAACATAAGCTCAGCTACATCATCTCTCATCCGTCCACCTGCCCACGTACGCCTCCGTCTCCGTAAAGGGGGATACTCTACCCGCTCTCCGTCCCTACTTAGACTTCTCGGACTACATCCATCGCGCACAGGCCCGCCGACCCGGCAGGGGCTCACCTATAGCGCGCACGCACGGCTCCCGCACGCGCCAGCGCTGGTGCGACACGGTCAGCAGCAGCGGCTGGCACCAGCGAGGCGCCCTGTAGGTGGAAGTGTCGCGGCAGGCTGCGGGCGAGCGCGCCGGTCGTCTCGCACGCCGCCGTCTTAATGTCCGGGCTGGGGTCGGCCAGACACTGCGCCAGCACCGCCACCAGGTCGTCCAGGTAGGCGGCGAGCTTGGCGCCGTCGCCCTCCACCAGCCGCTGCAGCAGCCGCAGCAGGCGGAGGCGCACCTCCTCGGACGGCTCGGCCGGCTCGGGCGCCGCCAGCCGCTGCCGCAGCACGGGCACCAGCAGCGCGCACAGCGGCAGCCGGTCGGGCGCGCGCGCCAGCCAGCGCGCCGTCAGCTCGGTGGCCAGCTCGCGACAACGCTCGGACGGGTCCGACAGGCACTGCAGCACGTCCGGCATGGCAGGCCAGGCCCGGCCGCCGTCCGCCGCCGGCTCGCCCGCTGCGCCGCCGCCAGAGTCGGCCGCGCCCGGCGCCGGCTTCGACGACGCCTCGGGCGCCGGCTGGTCCGCCTCGATCAGCCGGAGCATCGCCTCCAGCGTGCGCCGGCGGGCCAGCTTGTCGACTGGGCCGCCATCTATGAGCGCCAGCTGGGACTTGAGCTTCTCCGACAGTTCATGCATGGTGTCCGCCTCCATGATGGGTTTGGATCTGATGCGCTGCAATAGACGATATATTGATCGCGATGGCTACAGCCCATTGTGGGCATAGCCATGAGCCATGAGCACAGACTATATATATGTATACTTAAGGGAACCCCGGTCCAAGGTGTGCGATCACTGGGATGCATATATACATTCACACATTGACAATTTATGTTTGCTCCGTTACTGTGAAGAAAATTACGGTTTTAATACGGTGCCAGCCTTTTGAATGAATAGATATTTGGGACCCGACCCGACGATAAGCAGTGTTGGTGGCATGAGCGCTGGCCCGTAACACCGGATCGTGAATTGTCAGGTCACGGCAGGACCTGGTTGCGGAAGTTTTACGTGCCGCAACGCTCGGCCCGTAGTGTCCTCTCGCATCACTCGACCTTAAGAGAGACCGTTGCCATCCTGCTGTAGGCAATGCCTATCTAGAGCAAATAATAAGGACCTAAAGCAAGCTTGAGGCCATCCCAGCACGGCTGGTTGGATCACGAGGAGCACAGGACCTAAAGTGGCTTAAGCCCACCCCACCATGGATGGTTGCATCAGAAGGCACACTTTAACAAACTGATCTATTGGGACAGACTACTCAGTCTTGGATGTAGAGTTAGTAGGCGAGGGAGGTCCAAAAGTTTCCTCGCAAACATGTGACAATGTTTTCTGGGTGACAACTTGACATGCTTTGGCTAAAGGGGCATCCTCACCATGGATCTGATGTTGACCTTAAAAATTACTGGGCTGGGTAAACAGGAGTCACAGTGTCCACACAGGAAGTGTTTTATGCTTTTTCAGCCAAGGGTTTGGAATTCAAAACTGTGTGCTGCTTTCTTATAATATGGGTCAGATTGCCTCACCCTGTGAATAGAAACATACACACATACATGCACACATGAAGATGGCATGAGTGTGTTTGTGATTCAGTCTGCACCAAATTCATCCACTATGTGTGATGCCTGCACAGCATCAACATGATGAACCTGGCAAACACATGAGTCAAACTCATGCCCCACCAAAGCATGCTGAATTTTATTCTTCTTGCTTGAGAGAAATGTTTTGGAAACATCCTTCCTGAAATGAGCTTTGCTACATCATGATTCCTTGAAACATTACCTCATCATGTCCAGACTTCCATTATGCACATTTTTGGCACTTTGGTTTGTGTATCAGTGTGTTATATATATCTAAGCATGGTATTGGACCATGTAGCATATATGCTGACAACATAACTTAGCTTCATTTATATTTTATTGAAATGTCATTCTGCCCAAACAGACCAACAAACAATTCTGCACACCAGTCCAAACAGGTACATATCAAAGCATGAACATACATGTGTACACAGGATTTGCACCATCATAGCAACTTTGCACAAAATATATCCATGACCATGTGTAAGCACTAATACCATCTTTCAAAGACAATATGCTGGAGTAAAGATGTCACATCATTTGAACTTGACTAATGTCTTCCATAAGTAATATATCAACACAGTAGAAAGTAAGCAGAAACTGTATAACTCAGGTTTTATTTATTTCCTGGTTCCTATGATCATGATGAAGTGCACCTCAACCTGATGAGCATTGCCTGCACCTTACTGCCTACAAACATAGGCCTGTCTATATTTAAAACCTATTAACAAGCCTGGCATAACTCATATGGCATCTGAAGTTGCACCCACAAATCAAACATGACAACAACTTAGTGTCTTTGGTGAAGGCATATGAAAGCATGAAAGGCATGCAGAATATAAATGTAGGTGTCTACTGCAGCAACTGGATGGGCAATACAGCTGATAAGCAGCCTGTCACCAAGATGCAAAGATTTATAACCCATGCCTATTTAGCACATAGAATGCACCACAAAACTAGGCACCATAACATGAAACCACACAGAGCCATGAAAGCAAAGGTTTTAAATTCAGCATAAACATTGCAAAGCACCAAATTTGATTGTATGATATTTCATTGTACCATGTTTTAAGGCACTGTATTCTATGGTATCATATCTCAATGTCCTTTAAAGCACATATTGTAGCATTGTCTTTTATAGTACTTTTTTGAAACGTACTTCGAGGCATATATCGCAGCATCGTCTTTTAAAGTACTTTTGTAATGTTTTGTGACGAGTGAATGATACCATAAACCGCAGCAAGCGAGCGTTGTTACGAACTAAAGGCCTGCAAAGCCACCTCGTGAATGATTTTCGCGCAAACAAATGTAAGTCTAACCACAGTTAGCCTCTAGACACAGTACAACACTCACTTCCCAGAAGCCGCACGGTAAGGTGCAGCACCAGGCCGCGTGCAGCGCCACTTCATATACTCAGGCCTGCTTAGACTTTGCGGGCATTGTGCGTCAATAACGTCTTACTGCCACCAGATTTGGCTTGGTTTTACTCGGCTTCCTCCTGTAACCATGCCAACGATAGAGAAATAAGTAGAATGCAAGAGAAATGGTTTTAAAATTGCATGCTTTCTGGGTCTCGCTTGATCTGTGGTCAGCACGTTCGTTAGCACCAATCACGGTCCGGCATTCTCCCTACGTCCAGTATCGCAGGCAGCACAGATCTAAGCTCGGGTCGGACCCACACTGTGGGGCGACTTCTGCAGAGGGTCCGTGTCGGCCGCGTCTGGCCTGCCCACCCTCATCGGGACGCAATGGAGCCGATCAGTAGCGCAGACGAGGAGGGGGGGGGGGGGGCACAGGGGCACGGGTCTCACCCACCTTCTTAGGTTTAAAAGGGTCCTTTGGGCCTCTCGGAGCCTGCGATTAAGGGCCCCATTTGAGGGCCCGAAAGGCTCGGAAGCTCGGGAGGTCTCATTCAGGGACCTCATCCCGCAGGGCTTAGCACTCCGATGGCCAGCCAGATGGGCCTGCGCACTGATCAGGGGCCCATTGAGTCGATAAGGGCCTATATTTCGGTCAGACACCACCAGTAACGCACACTCGGCTCCGTGGCAGCATGGGCCCAAGGGTCCATTTCCCAAGCAGGGACAAAACCGGAGGCAACGATTTTCATTGATCGGGACCCTACAGCGCCTAAGAGGAACCTCGTGTTGTTCAAGGAGACCCGAGTCGACCAGTGGCAGTGTTCAAGGAGGCCCACAGATCCTAGAGGACCAACCAGGGCAAGGACGCGATTGGAGGGCCTAAGGGCACGAAGGGTCGGAGTCTTATTCAGGGGTCCCGGCTTGCAAAGGCGAACGCTCAAGTAATGGTCAGAGGGCCCTTTGCGCCAATCGGGGACTCCTTGAGACGATATGATCCTATATGTCGGTCAGGTACCACCAGCGCCGCACAGTCGGCTCCATGTCGGTTCGAGCCTGAGGGCTCACTTTCCCATCAGTTATAAAACCGAGGCCAGGGATTCACACTGGTCGGGGACTTGTATCTGTGAAGGGCACACAGCACCTAACAGAGGGTACTGGGCTCTCAAAGGCCGCGAGCCGACCAAGGGAAGTGCTCGATGGAGCCCGAAGAGGGGCCCGGGCGGCACACCGGAATCGACGATGAAAGCACTACACGCTGTTCCTAAGGAAGACTGCATAATAATTATATTTCTTTTCATGAACTGATTGGTAAGATCAATACTGTTTGCACGCACTTTGCAGATGTCAGATAACATCGTAATCTAGGCTAAACACCACACTTCCAAGCAATTTTGTTTCATGATGCAGCGTGAACTGAGCTTTGATACCTGCGTCTTTGCGTCGCTCTTGAACATTCTCTCTTGAATTTGTGTTGGGGTTGTTTAGAGACCTGATCTCATGCATATGTCGACAGAGATGCGTTGAACTGCTGTAGGATGTGTTGCTCCGCTGTGGAATATGTTCTATCGCTCCGATTGAGATGTGTCGTTCTGTTGTGCTGTGTTATGATTGCACAAGTTTGCTTGATTTGGAAGTTTTGGTTTTGCCTTCAGCATATGGCAATGAAGATGCGTCGTTCTGCCTGGAATACGTTGTTCCGCTGTAGGGTGCGTTGCTCTGCCGTAGGGTGCGTCATTCAGCTGTGAGGTGCGTCGTCTTGTTGTGCTGTGCTCTGACGACACGACATTGTGTTGTGACGCGTCTCGGGCGTATGCCGATGGAAACGCGTCGTTGCACTGTGGGATGGGTAAATCTGCTGAAATACGCACAGATATATATGATATAATGATATGGAGTCCCTGTTCTTCTCAAGCAGATGCGCCATGCTTTCGGGCTGCGTTATGGCTGCTTGAGTTTATGCCGTTACGCTGATCGGAATGTTTTTGTTTTCGTCTCTGGTGAGTGCCGATAGAGATCCGTCTACAGTCACGAGCAGAAATATATTGCATGATCGCATATTGCAAGATTATCAACACGATGGCTGAAAAAGGGGTGACACCCCCTGGGGAACTCAGAGATCACGCGGACGTCGGTTTGATCTCCACAGACAGTCACATTTTACGATGGCCTTGCTTGCTTGTCGATTGCTATCGACCTCATCGGTATTAGTGCTGCTTCTTCCGCCTCCGACATGCTACAAATATGTTGCGTTCTAGGTATGTCTGCATTGTATAAGT